TGCCGAACTCCTGTAAAGCGACATCTTCGTATGGACTTGTATCTTTTGCGTGCTTCTTCATGTCCCCAAGCGTTTGTTGCAGGCGTCGTGCCACATGTGAGCATAAATATTCCCGGCCTTCAAGGGCATCAGGTTTAGGTTTTAAGGATGTTTATAGGCTTAGTGAAACGGTGGTGTTCATGACAGTTCGTCATACTCCAAGTCAAGGGTTAGTTATCATCGATATCGATGGACTGCTGTGCAGAAGTCCCCATATCGAAAAGCCGGGGTGCCGGGAGGATGTGCTCGAAAAGCTTGCAGCACGCCCAGATGTGGTGAAGAGCATCTCGATTGCAAACCATGGTGACTATAGTAGAGGCCAGGAAGTTGGAACATCAATATCCTCATGCCCTTAAGGTAAAGTATAGGGGAGCCCAGCACTAATCATCCCAAATCCATGTTCCAACTTTCTGGCCTCTACTATAGGAGGAACGTTTGTGTGTTCTGGGATTCGGGAATGTTCCTGTTAAGACAAGATTTGACACTTTGACCGAAGCATGAGCAAGCTCGGCCGACTGACAAGCAGAGCAAGAAAATAATGCCAGTCATCTGAAAGTGCTGCCAAAACCGAGAACTCCTACGAAAGCCTGACATCCAGATTCGATGCGGACTGTTCTCGTTCTTGGTAGAGAGGCAGTTGTTCTAAGTAGAGAAGCATCCAGGCACAGCTTTTATATTCTGACAGCCTTTCTAGTAACCGTCACAGCGATCTGTGGAGTGAGTTTTATTGAATAGTAACCGTTGAGTAAACCTTGATACGGTGGCAAGCCCGGAACTAGTCCTTGCGTGTGCCGCCCCCTATCACGATGCAGTGTTCAGGTTATGTGTTTGTCTAGCCACCTGCAATACCCTGAGACACGTGTGTGTGTGTGTGTCTCTGTGTGTAGTTAAACATGAACATGTTTCTATATATTTTTTTACACAGACCATTATCGTATTTGCGTATGTGTATACGTGTCGGTATGCATATTTGTCTGTAGCGAGAGAGAGAGAGAGGATATTGGGTTTTTGCGCCGAAACCACACGCTTGCCAATCGAGGCTTTAACAGTTTCAGGGTGTGCGGAGTTATGGTTAGCATTGCAAATTTTGAACTGGAGTCGCGGCGTTACAGCTCCAACCTCCGCTAGAGCAAACGCTGAGCAACAACAAAAGACATCAAAAAACTGCAACAACACCTAAAACCCTTGTGGGACCCTTTTAAAGGGATGTGAAGTCGGGTTAAAATTACCGTTTTGGTGAGTGTAGATCGGGCTCCTGTTGAATGTTGGTGAGTGAACATATTGGGTTCTATTAGGGGGATACTAGTAATATAAACCATACTCTATGTGTTAGTGTAGCTCATGTCAGCTAGAGGCCCGAAAGTCGAAAGAAGCAACCCCTACACCTCCAAATCCTGGAATACAGGGGCCGTGAGAATGATGGTTCCTTTAGAGGGATCCCCGAAAGGGTTGTGTAAGAGGGTTTATTCTGGTTTCTCAGGTTTTGGGGGTTAAGAGCCCCATAAATCCTTCAACCTTAAAATCCTGAAGCGGCGCTGAAGCGAAAAGCCAGGCGGCAAGAGCCACACGGCCATGCTCAAAGCCCTGGAGGATGGCTCTAACGGTTCCCAAAAGCCGATAAGGGCTCATTCAAGTTTATGAATTATCCTGAACCCCAAACCCTTAAACCCAAACTTAAGGGTTACCATAAGAGGCTTTGAGTTTAGGATGACTTCAGCTCGATGGTCTTGAGGTTTGGGGCTCAAGGCTTGATAAGGTTGAAATAAGGGGCGTAGGGTATATAGGGTTTAGACCGTTTGAAACCTCAAGCCCGAACTTAAGTGGCGCCATGGCGGCTGTTACAACGGTTACTGCCAGGGTTTAGGGCACCAGGTGTTCATGGGTTTGGGGTGTTAAGATGTATAAAGGGCTCAGGGTTTTAGCGTATAGGGTGTGGGGGTGTTTTGCGGTTTAGAATTTGTGGTGTTGGGATAAGTTAGGGTTCAGGGTATTGGAGTGTTGGGTGTTTAAACTTTGGGGTATTGAGGTTTTGGTGTTGCGGCGAGGGTTTGAGGAATTTGCAAGTCAGTTCCTCGACTTTCACCATAGATCTTAAGTTTGGGGATTCTGTGAGGCTCACGAAGTCCTGAGGCTCAGTTTAGAAGCTCCGTGAGTTCTCTAGGTAGGCCTTTGGGACATTTTATGTTTTCCCTTTGTGGGCTTAGGAGGATACTATTTACGAATATTGTTCAGAGGCTTTAAAGGGCCAACCTAGTTCGCTGGCTGCAGGAGTACGGAATGATCCCTACCTTATTGGGCTTCATTATAAGAGGCTTTATATGGGATATCCCTATCCCAATTTTTGCTTATGTGCTTTTCTGGGCCCCTAAATGAGGAGCCGCATCGGGAATAAAAAACTCGATCGACAAACTCAGTTGAGAGCCGAAGCTCTGTTCTCCAACGTCGATCCCCAAGGTCTCGACATCCTAGATACCATCATAGCGATGACTGTGAGGACAATACTCAACACATTTATATTGCCAACAAGATTAAGATAGAGAAGAAGAAGAAGACGCAGAGGAATAAGACAAAGAATGATAAGACTAATGATGATGATGATGATGATGATCATGGTGGTGGTGGTGGTGATGATGTGATGATGATGGTGTCTAACACTAATAAGACTGATATCAAGGATAGTAATAATCGTGCCGATCATGCGGATCATAGGATAGCAATCGTACAGAGGGAAGCCCCCTCAACCCCTTTCAGTTCAGGTTCGGATTGGGATCTCGGGCTTGTGAGCCGATGGGCACCACGAAGAATGGAAACGCCACACACGCCAATGCGACCATGTAGGCATTGGCCGATACGCAGGGTGCAGGTGCAGGGCTGTCTCCCCCTCCCAAAGGATACGATTTGCACGGAACTGTCAGATGTGCCGAAACCCTAGGCCCTCATACTTCAAACAAAAAACCGCAAGCCTGCAGGAGTCGGGTGGCTTGCTCCACCCGGCGAAGCGAGCTCTGCTTGGGGCCTGATCTACCTGCCATACTGAGGCGTAGATTTCTCACCTTGGGAGTGAACACCAAGCGCTGCTCAGGATGGAAAGGAACGGTAATTTACATCGCCCGAAAGCGGAAGTTTGTTCAAGTTTCCAAAGCTTGGTAGATTTATCTTGTGGGGGTGAAAGGTCGGCAGTGCTTGATGTCTTTACGTGGACGAAGGGGCATTACGTGGGCTCCATGCAAACAGTCATGTGGCCATTTTCCTCTTCTCAGTGCCCACGACGCAATCGATGGGTGCGATTGTGTGTTCCGAGCCCCCCTTAGTTTAGGGAGGCACCTGGACTAGCCAGCGCGACGAAAATGAAGCTACCACTTGGAGGATCATGGGCCTTAGTAAGTATGGTTATAAACACCTTGACTGGGGTTATTATAAGTATGTATAAGTATAGTTACATTAAATATATCCCCAGGTGCTAAGTCCCATGATCCTCTAAGCAGCGCTCAAGCTCGGTTAGCTTGCGCTCCGAGGCTGCAAGAGACTAGGAATCCTCTCCGTACCTCTCATTGTAACCCTCATAGTTACCTTTTCATAGCTCCTGTAGCAGCCTTTGCGGCCTTTGCAGTACTCCTCATATTAACCTTAAAATCCTGAAACCTGAAACCCTAAACCCTAAACCCCAAGAGCCCGAAACCCTCTAAGAAAAAAGCAAACCCTAGACCCTGACTGGGTGGTTGTCAAAATTAGGGTCCCCTTTTGGGTCCTTAAGATAACACGGCACCTATTATTTAGGGTACCCAAAAAGGGACCCTAATTTTGACAACCACCCAACTGAAAAACCTGAACCTTCAGGGCTCAGGGCCATTCTTCAGAAGTGCTCCTCGGGTCCTCTTGACACTTTTTTGGTCCCTAATGTGGGAGTTTCCGAAAGTTAGGGGAGCCGAATATAGCACCCTAAATAGTAGGATCCTTCTTTTCAGGACCCCAAATAGGGTACAGCTAATTTTCGGGAACTGCCATGTGGGGGAGTTACTAATCACCTAGAAACTATTTCGGGTGGTTTCTTTCATAAGTATAGTATGATTGAATATACACCAAAACCGCATTCTCAGCATTAAGGCCCCTACAGTAGTAGGGGAGTTGATGGGTACAAAACAGCGTGTTTGGGCCAAGTTGAGCCTTGCGGCAGCCTTAGTTGAAAATCAAATCGGGTTCTTTCATATATAAGCATACCATGGTCTACCCCAAGTCCCCTAGTCTACTGATCAAGCCCATCTGTACCCCTTATAGAACCCTTTAAAGCAGCCCTCTTCAAGCCATCCTTCTTTAATCATAGAGACGCTAGCCCTAAACCCGACAGAGGGGTCGATCCTGGGGCCTGTGTTTGTGCATGAGGAGGTTCACTCCTTAAACCGCAGCCCATATAGTGTAACAACCCCTGTTCTTGTTTTTCGCAATCCTTCTAGACCCCCGTAAAGCGAGCCTTGTGTTGCAACGATCAAGGCCCCTCTTTCTTGATGTAGGGAACCCTGACTATAAAAATGCTATAGTACCCTTAAAGGCAACGGTAGTACATAGATGATCCCTACTTGGAGGTTCATGGGTAGTTATAAGTGGGGTTTATAAGTAGGATAACTAGAGTTATAACCCATATTAGGGGACTTATAACTCCACTTATACCTACCCATGAACCTCCCAGTAGTACCCTAAACCCTATGCCCTTACAGAATGCCCATAGATCCCTTGAAAGGAACCCTAACTATAAAATACTCTAGCACCCTTAAAGGAAACCGTAGTATATAGATCTGTGTAGTACCCTTAGGGAACCCTATCTCTAAAAATGCTATAGTACCTTAAAGGAAACCGTCGTAGACAAACTACTACTTACTAATAGTTATGCTACCACTTCTGCTGCTACTACTACTACCACCACCACTATCCCTATAGTCCTAAAGTAGCCTCAGGGATGGTCTGAGGTGTGGAGTCTCTCTCCGGTTTGGCAGCTCTACAGCTGCAGCTCTACGAGGCAGGGCCGCAATCTGACCCTGATGCACGAAACCCTGGACGATAGGGGCTTAACTAAATATACCTAGACTATTGTGGGGATTCCTTATTATGACTATAGGAGCTTGAATAAGCACCTATACTATTGTGGGGATTCCTTGTTCGAATTATAGTATAGTATACCCCATAAGGTCCCTATAGGCGCCTGGATGCGGCCCAGAAACACTGAGCCAGACTTGGTCCAACCTACGGATTTAGGGGTGTTGGGTGTGGGCTGAGGCTTTAGGGCCTCAAGGTTTTTGGACCTGGCTAACAGCTAAAGGTTACCGGTTTGGAGCTGTAGTGTGTTGGGTCCATTGTGTTTCGGGCTTGAAGGCTTCGGGGTTTACTTGCAGTTCAAGGCAAAAGGCATTCGGGTCAAAGGTGCAGGGATTAGTTGCTGCGTCTGGCTCTACTAGTCTATCACGCCTTCGATTTCACTGAGATGTGTGAGGCTTGAGAAAGCATCCCGCCGTTCTGAATCTAGTCTTGTTCTTGCCTTGTGTTTTCGTGTTTGCTTCGGGGCTGGGTCACAAATGAGAAGCAACTGTTGTGTTTCTCTTGCTAACTTGGAACAAGTGTAGCATCAATTGCCTCAGCATGGCGATGTGACGTCTTGCGCTTGCAAAGGCGGAGTTCCTTGTCATCTTTCGAAAAAGGCAAACATCTTCGGTACCACCATCAGCATCATTATCGTCGTCTTCTCAGCATCCCCATCGTCGCCGTCGTCATCCTCATCATCCGCATCAGCATCATCAACCATATTCTCGTCATCATCATCATACTTGAGCTGTCTGAGTAGATGTTATAAACATGCAAATTTCCCAGCCTGTGACATGTTAGCTTTTGTACTGCAGGCCTTCGTGTATGCTGACAATACCAACCGCAAACCTCCCAAACCCTTGCAGAACCCTCTTAACATTCATAAAGCCGCCATGAAATGCTATGAAACCCTTATATATACATGTGTATATATATATATATATATATAGATATATATATATATATATATGTATATGTACACACCAACAGTCCTCAAAAGCTAAGGAAAAAAGCACTTTCTTGCCAGGTGCAGCTGCGAGCCGGGTTCATCCAGGGTGCTTCCCGGCCGAACCTAAAACCCTACACCCCTAAACCCCTAAACCCCTACACCCCTAAACCCCCAAACCCCCAAACCCCTAAACCCCTAAACCCTAAACCGTGCCTCTGTCAGCTTCGGGGTTGTGGGGCCTGAAGAGTTACCAATACTAGGACCCAGAGTAGGCTCCTGTTCCCTTTTTTAGGGTTCAGGTTCCCTTATAACCCCCTTTAAACCAAAACGGGCACCCTTTTTATTCCTAGGTTACTCTTAGGTCTAGAATACTATGGTTGCTTGAATCTTAGGTTCCTTAAGGGGATCCCTTTCAAGGTACTATAAGGATTACCATAAGGGCTATTACAAGGATGTAGTATAGGGGCCTAAAGAATTACCAATACTATTTTGGGGTTCCTTATTATAGTTCTATCATGTGTAAAAGTGTAGTATACACCAAGACCCTATTCTAGAAATTAAGGCCCCCATATTACAATTTTGGGTGGGGCTCCTTGCGATAACCGTAGTATAATACATCCCCCTGAACACCTTTAGGGTTGAGGTCTGGGTTTTAGGGCTTAAGGGTCTAGGATACCAGGGTTTGACAACGGGGTTGCTCGAAGTCGCTGACAAGATTGTTGCAGCTATGTCCGCAGTAGCATCCTTGCTTGAGGAACATGGTTAAAGAGAGGGCTTTGGTTGTATGTCGGTCTTGTGGGGATAATAGGGCTTCGGCTGGATAGCATGGCGGTTCAAGGTTTGCGCTTTCAGATGTCGGGGTTATAAGGTCGCAGTCAATATAGAGGCCTGACTCATCAGTAATAACAACCTTCTACAGTCCTCATACAAGCATAGTATACCCCAAAACCGCCCTTCTATTTATTCAGGCCCCATGCTAAGCCAGTAAGACGTTTCTAGCAAAGTTTGTGTTCTTTTTACTTGCGTCGATTGTGCGTGTATCTGTGTTTATGTATGTGCATATGTATATGTTCTGACAGATATAGATATAGATAAAGAACGCTAGGTAGACAGATAGATGTATAGAAAGATAGCTAGGTGAATAGGTAGATTGACAGCTACTTGTAAAATATAGTTATAGATCTGGAGATATGGGAAAGCTCCAACCGAGGCATTACGGCCCGTACTTGGAGGATCATGGGACTTAGTAAGTATGGTTATAAGTATCTTAATTGGGGTTATAAGTAGTTAAAATGTATAGTTACCATAATTATTACCCTAGTTATTAGTCCCATGATCCTTTAGGTATACATTACCCCACCAGATTGAAACGTAAGATCCTCGTCTTAACCTGTAGTCACCTCACTGAGCTCTACAAAACCAACACCCCCTAAAGCATAAACCCCCAGAAATACCCGGCAAGCCTCATGGACAAGGATGCCTACTCCACACGTGACCTGGCGCTTTTGCTGCTGGCGCAAGGCCGTGTTGCTCGGCGCTTGCGTGGAGCAGCACGGCAGCAGAACAAGGTCCTCGCGTTGGGCTTGATCAGGGTGTTATAGGGCTTTTCAGCAGTTTAGGTTGAAGGATGTTGCAAAGGATGTTACTTACAGCGCGGCTTTGCAAGGTTTTTTTTGGGGTCGTCTAGGGCTCTTTCAGGAGAGGCTGTAGAAGGCATTAAAAACTGTTTAAAAGATATACAATTACTACTCCTTTAACCTTCTAGATAATCCTTTTATTCCCACATCTTTTGTTTTACAAGCTCCGTAAGTCTACCTTGAACACCTCCTTAGATCCCAAAGAACCCTAAAATACCTCCCTTGCCTCCATAAGAACCCTTGAAATGTTTCAGAGCCTTAAGTCCAACTAAACGGCCCGACTTAGGTGGCGCCCATCCTGCCACCCCTGAGCTTGCAGCTCTGCAGCCGTCTCGAGCAAGCAGCCACGGAGCCTCGACACGCTGTCTTTTGAATAGGGTTTTGTGGGTTCCTTATTATACTCATAGTATAATATACCCCGCAAACCCCATTCGAATTATTAAGGCCCCTACATGAAGGCTTACGGGGGTCAAGATTTGTGACTATGAGTGACGCTGTCTTTTGAGGGTACCAGAGGGGCTTATTGCCGTTATACAAAAGTTACAATAAGGAACCCCGCCCCCCCCCCCCCAAAAAAAAAAAAAAAAAAGTGTTGGTCATTATTTAGGACCCTATATTAAGGCTTAAGGCGGATTCAAGATTTGGGACTTTGGGGAATTAGGGTTTAGGATATCGGGTTTGAGGTTTAGGGATCGGGGTAGGGAGCTTAAGGTTAGGGGTGTAGGGTTTAATTAGGGTTCACGGTCTGCGAAGTGCCGATGGTGGTTTATATCGTCATTTGGATGCAGCTTTGGAGCCTGCTCTTTGTATTATAAGGGCCTAAATAAATGGGAGTTTCCGAAAATAGGGGACCCTAATAGAATACCCTAAATAGTACATTGCGCTCGCGAAGTCGGTTTTGTAACTGCGCATCAGCCGATAAGCCGATAAACCGAGCAGCCAGTCTTGACCGGGAGTGCAAGCCGTCCAGGTGATCAGCCGATCGGCTTATCTGCTTATCGGCCGATCGGCTTATCGGCTGATCGTGATGACATCCATGGTCTACTGGGAAAAGAGCTCCCATGTCCAACGTCTGATGACGTCCATGGTCTACTGCGATTCAGGAACCGTCCATGCCCAAAACCTAAGGACGTCCATGGTCTACTGCGATTCGGGAACAGAGCATCCATGCCCAAAACCTAATGACGTCCGTGGTCTACTGCGATGTGGGAACAGAGCATCCGTGCCCAAAACCTAATGACGTCCGTGGTCTACTGCGATGTGGGAACAGAGCATCCATGCCCAAAACCTAATGACGTCCGTGGTCTACTGCGATGTGCGAAAAGAGCTCTTTTGTTCACAGGCTGATGACGTCCATGGTCTAGTGCGATTTGGGAACAGAGCATCCGTGCCCAAAACCTAATGACGTCCGTGGTCTACTGCGATGTGGGAACAGAGCATCCATGCCCAAAACCTAATGACGTCCGTGGTCTACTGCGATGTGCGAAAAGAGCTCTTTTGTTCACAGGCTGATGACGTCCATGGTCTAGTGCGATTTGGGAACAGAGCATCCATGCCCAAAACCTAATGACGTCCGTGGTCTACTCCGATGTGGGAAAAGAGCTCCCATGTTCGAAACCTAATGACGTCCATGGTCTACTGCTCTTTGGAAAAAGAGCTCCCATGTCCAACGCCTGATGATGTCCATGGTCTACTGCGATTTGGGAACAGAGCATCCATGCTCAAAGCCTAATGAAGTCCGTGATCTACTGCGATTTGGGAACAGAGCTCCCATGTCCAATCGGCTTATCGGCTGATCGGCTTATCGGCTGATCGGCTTATCGGCTCGTCGGCTGATCGGCGTAGCACGGTTTGGCGCCCAGATCCCACGCACACTGAAATAGTAGCATGATTATTATAAGGACCCCAAAAGAAGGTACCCCTAATGTTCGGAAGCTCCCGAATACCACTATGTACTGTTTTGGGCAGGACTCTTGATATTCAGGCCTTCTTACCGCTACGATGCTGGGAGTGATTTCTTGAAACTTCGAAGCCCTAATCTGCAAGCTCGCACGCAGAGATTGTGACCTCCTAAATATCTACAGCTCTGAATCCTAAAGTCTTATAGCTCGCGGCAACTTAGGATCAAGTTTGGTGTCCCTGGTGTTTTTCGGAGGTACATGCTCATCGTCAATATTGGGTGGCTCTGCAACTACAACACAGAGAAACCAGAGACTCCGATATCCCTTGATTAAGGTACAAAGCTTAAATCGTATTAGGGACCCTAGTGGAATTTAAGGTTTATTCCTTAATTGAGGTATATCGGAGTCTCTGGCAGACCCTAAGCACAATCCCCCCAAACCCGAAGGAGTGGCGCAGCCGACATTCCTCGCTCGATGCAGACGGCATCTCGCGGGCGTCGTCGGAAGGCTCTTTGGCGCTGGCTGCTGCGTCCATGACCGTCGGAGGGCTCAAGGTTCAGGGTGTCAGGCTTTGCTGATTCACGGAGCCCTGCATCATTCGTCTCCCTTCCAGAAGACGCAACATCGTATCCATTTCCAGCACTACGAGAAGCGGCATGTGTGTGAATGATTAATTACTTAGTGTTAAATGCGTGTTTCAGCAACTCTAACATTAAAGAGACGCGAGGATTGTGCCAATTACAATGCTAGGTGGCACTCTCTGAGGGAATGGCTACCAAATGCTCGAGGGCCGCAAAACTATGCGTATATACGCATACAGCCATAATTACACGAGTACATCAAGACATACCGGCAGCCGGCCGTCCTTGCATGCATGCATGCATGCATGGAGACAGACGGACAGACAGACGGAACGACGCATCCAGCCATCCATAGATGCATGAATGTATGCATGCATGTATGCATACAGAGACAAACAGCGAGAAAGACAAACACCACTCGACTGCACCAAACATCCACCACGGCGTCAAGTGAAAGCAATGAACAGGTTTCGTATTGCTTGAAGGGTGCCAGAGTATCTAGAACAATGAAGCCCGAAAGTGCAAAACCTCCATGCACAGGTTCATAATGTTTATCGGACAACAGAGTATATGGAACCTCAACCTTACCTTTGGTTAGTAGGGAATGGAAGAATGGTATTAATAGTAGTTATACTTGTACCCCATTCCTCCATTCCCTACTAACCCAAGGTAAGCAACAGGGGCTTCAAACCCACAAGTGTCCTTTGAGCCCTCTGGATTGCACCGCAGGCGCTGCGATTTCCGGAAACAGACAGCGGTTCGGGTTTAGGGTTTAGGGTTTAGGACAGTAACAAACAGCGACAGGCGACAGGCGAACTAGAAGCCGAAATAACTACCAATACTATTCCTTAGCTAATTATATTTATACTAGAATGCTTAGCTTTCTGTTTATATTTATAACTATAATGCAGCCCTACTCTAACTGTTCAGGCCCGTACATTAAGCAAGTCTCCCAGAGCTTGGCGGAGCCCACAGCCTGGGCACGCCAATGACATGCAATGATGGCCCGTCTACCCGTTGATGTTCCCGGAGACTCCAATATTCCATATTTAACTAAGGAATATACCTTAAATCATAGTAGGGATCCGGCTAGAATTTACGGTATATTCCTTAATTAAGGGATATTGGTGTCTCTGGGTTTGTCATTAGAAGTAGCTTTGGAGCTTTGAACGCCGTAACACCCTGATCTACAGATCCTTCTTTCCGGAGGATGCTGATGCACTGCAAGAGCATGAGCGAGAGCTCAGATGCGCAGGGCGCCTGGCGACAGGCTGCCTCGGCAGCCCTTCGGGTGGTGAGAGAGACAGTGGACACTTGGCCGGGTTCACTATAGCAGCCTGAATCGTCAAGTAATATACCAATTGGTATGGTTCCTTATTGATTTTCAATATAGCAGCCTGAGTAAGTAGTAATGTAGGAACCTGATTCAGAAACCCTGGGCCTATAACCCCAACATAGTAGGGTTCATCTAAGGAACCCTAACAAAGGCCCAAGGTATCTTAATCAGGCTAATCAGGTTCCTACATTAATACCAATCCGTAGGGTTACTGTTTCTGCAATGTACCCCGAAACGGTACAACGGTTTAGGCCCCTATAATTGGGCCTTAGGTTTCCACCAAACGGTGGCTAGTGGGTTTGCGCGCAGAGTGATGTTAAGTCGGACTTAGGACTTATCGGAGGTGCTTTCAATGGATCAATAAATTGGGTGGTTGTCAAAATTAGGGTCCCTTTTTGGGTCCCTAATATTTTACGACACCGAATACTACCGCAGGACGAAAGTTCGCCATACAACATGAGGTTGAGAGATCATCACATGTTCAGCCCTTTTCCCCCGTAGAATCCTAGCACAACCCCGCAAAGCTCCCTGCCGGAAACTATATAATAGTATAAATTTATTCCCGGAAAGTAATTACTCCGCCACGCTGGCCACGTAAAATGGGTCTTAAAGCTCTCCGCCTCTCCGCGGCATACATCTATGTTATAAGCTGCATGTCGAAACTTTCGGCCCGGTGGTGTATTTAGGGTACCCAAAAAGGGACCATAATTTTGACAACTACCCAAATATGAGCTGTTGTGGATAGGGTTCTAGGTGTTATAAAGGATGTGCGAATCAGTGGCTTAGGGAAGGGATTCAAGCAGAGTGTTGCAAGGTTTCCCGGCAACCCAGATCACCTACACTTTTGAGCCTCTTAACATGGATGTACCAAAATCGACGAGTTATGTGGTTCTGAACAGGGTTGTTTCACGGGATGTCCCTCGCTTCCTTGCTTTCGGAGCTCTTCGTTGAGGGATTGTGCATACCCTGTCCATGAAACTTTGTCAGAATTTTGCTAGAACTTCCTAAGTCGGTCTTGAAGCCTTAACCCAACACCGGAGCCGGAAACCCTGCAACCCGCGTATCCTAAACCCTGAACCCGAAACTCATAAATCTACAGATCTTGCACATTCAGCCCATGTCTCAGGGTGCCGCAACCGATGCAAAGCTGCAGCTCGACGACAATCTTTTCAAAGCACTAGCAGCCAACGCCGTCATTGGCGAGCACCTTGGCTACTGAGTGTGTCGTTGGGATTTCAGCGGGCCCTTCTGACGGTTTGAAAGGGGCCTTGGGTCGGCGCTTCTCGGGCTGCTTTGTTGTAGCTTTTGGGGTTAGGCTTCATGAGCTTTGGATTGGAAGTTAAGATTAGGGACAAACATCGAGATCTGCGAGGTTCTGCCTGAGTAGTGAACATTCTCTAGCACAATTTTGCCATAACTTCTGTAGAATGTACCCTCAAAGCAAGAATATTCAGGCCGCTCTACTAGCCTTGTGGCTTTCTAATCCCCTAAACCGAATCACCTCGACCCCTTAACCCTTGACCCCTAAACCCGCGAACGCGAAATTCCTAAACCCTTGAACCCTAAACCCCGAAACTCCTCAACCCCTCAACGTTGACCCAGTTGCAAGTATTGGGCGGCAGTAGTTCTTAGGGTTCGTCTAGTCATGCTAGAGTCATCGTGTACCCTACTCTTGTCACAGTAGCTCATGTTGGGCGGAGGAGTTTAGGGGTTAGGGTTTAGGGTTTAAGTACAGGTTTCAGGTGCATTGACTTTGGGAGTCACGGGTGTAGAGCCCTGATAGATAAACCCCTGCATGAATAAGCATGAAAGTAGCTTAGTAGCTGAGTGGATACGCTTTACATCTTTTGGGATACTATTATCCACTATAAAGCTGAAAGTGTACACTTTTGGGGGCTTATGAACTCAGCAACTAAGGTAAGGATCCTAGTAAAAAGCTCAGGGGATCGATTTATCAGGGCCTGTCCGTGTGCGTGCACACAGACACACCATGCATGCTGAAATACACACAGACACACACACACACATGCCAAGCTGCATGCTGACATACCCTAATTCCAAAACCTTAAGCCCTGAACCCTCCGTCTTTTGTTGTCCCCATCTACCTAGGTGCACACAATTATTGAATTGCAGCACAAGTAGCCTAATTCTGCGGCGCGGGGAGACGGGGTTGCCATTTCGAAGCGTGTGCATTTCTGAAAGGTGTACATGTATCACACAAGACATAAGAAACCCTAAACCCTAAACCCTAAACCTGACATAAGCATAGGGCTGTTGCGGTTGAGCATTGGGGGGGGCCACAATATGTCAGAACAGGAGCCTTTAGGGTTGGGGTATATGTGGGTGGTTGTCGAAAATTATGGTCCCTCTTTTGGGTACCCTAAATAATAGGTGCCGTATTCTATTAGGGCCCCCAAAAAGGGACCCTAATATTGACAACCCCCCATGTTGGTATTCTACCTTAACCCTCCAAAACCTACTTTTTGCAGGGTCCCAATAAAATCTCTAGTCGGGTTTATAATAAGAACCTACAAATTATAATAAGAACCTACAAATCCAGGTTTCTGGTAGGCTAAGGTATACACATTCAAGCTACGCACACCTGCTACTCGAGACCTTCTTCTCGGTCGACAAGGAAGACACCAAAGTCCTGAAATGACGTAGGTACTCTCAAAGACTTTCGTTTAGGGATCCCTTTGTTCTCGATTTTGAGAGCCGTGGTATAACTATTATAATAAGGAATCTTGAGGAATAATGTTTGTAATTATTTGAGAGTTTCCCAAAATAAGGGGTACCGTTTTGGGGGATCCTTATAATAAGGATCCTACGATTTAGGATACTATATTAGGATCCCCTATTTCCGGAAACCGCCTTTTTGGCTTCTGTAGCTACTATGGGGTTTGCGGCTAGGATGCCCAGTAGTACCCTTATTCCCTTTTTGTAGTCCTAGGTTCCTTATAAAGTTACCCAATACCAAAATGGGAGCCCTTTTTATTCCTAGGCATCCTAGGGGGTTGGGTGGCGAGGCTTCTCTTCCGAGCTGCAGATGAGTCTCCACTGGTTGCTGAACTGCTGGCCACCGTTGACACGCTAGCTGCGTACCTTCAAAGTCAGGAGCAGCCTGCGGTTCGGGTTTGGTTTGGTTTTTTTGGGGTTTGTTTGGGTTTATTGCGGGATTTTGGGGTGTGCTATAGTCTCCTTAGGAATTGTTATCATGTTTATTATGGGGGGGGGTATAGCGTGGTCGCATCTTCGCGATTGCTGCTGCAATGTTTTCGAGGTTTAATAAGGAGGATTGCTGTGGCAGTCTCATGGGAACCCTCCCAGGTCAGGTTTTAGATGGTTTTAGGGTTTAGGGCTTTAGGAGTTTAGGGCTTCGGGTTTAGGGTGCCTGTTAGTACTTTTTTGGGGAATTTCGGAACATAGGGGACCCTAACATAGCGCCCTAAATAATAGGATCCTTATTTCAAGGACTCCAAAATGAGGTACCCCTAATTTTCGGAAACTCCCATTTGGAGCTTCCTAGAGCCCCTCTACTTGGAGGTTCAAGGGTAGTTTTAAGTGGTGTTATAAGTAGGGTAGCTACAATTATAACCCATATTAGGGGACTTAGAACCCCACTTATAACTACCTATGAACCTCCAAGTATTTGGTGCTTCCTAGAGCCCCTCTAGGAGTTCGTGAAGCAGCGAGCGCATTTGGGCGCTTGGCATTTGGACAGCTGCCTTCACCTGCTTGCCGTGCAGGATGCGCTGCCTGCCGGCTGCACGCTTATTCAAAACGAGTGGTAGGACAAAGGGTATCCTAATATAAAGGGGCCACTCAGGAACCTAGAGGATTGTAATTTAAGTTATCATTTAGCATAGAAACCATATTGTTTACTATGGTAACTCAAAAAGTAAAGTTTTCAGCAAGAACCCAGTTGAAGACCGCTAAACCCTGGACCATTTCTAAACCCTGCAAGATCCCATCAACTCCAATCTCCATAATTCATCCCTAACCTTATACGTCATACACTCTACAAACCCTAACCCTACAAACACTAAACGCAATGGAGTTAGCACGAAGAACAAAACCTTATACACCTTGGATTATGCACCCTAGCCTGCTTTGCTCCTTGCATGGGTCACTGGGAAGGAGACGGAAAGAAACCCGGTGCCGTCAGCGGACCGTTCCCATAAGGTCTACTATAAAAGCCCCGCAAGGGTTCACAAACGCTTCTGCAAAGGTTGGTGGGTGTTGGGCTTTTGGGTTCAGAGTTTAAGGACTCTTCAGATATGGAATCCACACGATTCACTCCATGAACTCTGATTTGGGTGGTTGTCAAAAAATTATGGCCCCCTTTTTGGGTACGCTAAGTATTAGGTGCCGTATTATGCTAAGGGCCCAAAAGGGGCCGTAATATTGACAACTACCCATTTGACAGAACCTAGGTCGCTCAACCACGGCGGAAGACTGTCCGTGGACTTGGGGAGATTCGAGGAGAGTCTCGTTGTCAGTTCTGTGCTAAGCCTTACGTTAAGGGAGCCCTTATAGGAGGCCTGGGCCCTACGGTTGATGTTATGAGCCCTTCATTACCCATAATAAGGAATACTCAATTATTCCCATAGTCTAGGGTCATTAGGGTAATGCAGCATCCCTTAAAGGAACCCCTTAAGATCCCTTCAAGGATCCCTTAAGATCCCTTAAAGGATCCCTTAAAGCAATCCCTTAGAGGAGCCCAGAGGATCATGGGACTTAGTAACTCGGGTGATAATTAAGGTAGCTATACATATGATTACTTATAGCCCCCTCTTAAGGTACTTATAACCATACTTACTAAGTCCCATGATCCTCCAAGTAGGAGAGGAGTCCGTCCCCTGAGGAGGCCGTGCTCGAGGAAGCCACGAGACAGCTTCCGCGGCGAAAGTCGATCTCCTTCTGGCTGAGGCGATTTCTGGGGCCCTTTACAGTAGAAGCAAGAAAGTTGAAACATTCTGATCCTCTTGCCCTTAAAGTAAAGTATAAGGGAACCTAGCACTGTCCTTATAATGAGGTTCCTACTATTCAAGGGTACTATCCTTCTGGCTGAGGCGATTTCTGGGGCTCTTGTCTCCTTAGGAAACTTCTTAAATTTGTTCATATAAAACCCAAGAGAATATTAAAGATATTATTTTCATTATGGTTCTAAGGTGGGTATAGTAAATTTCAACCCCTCAACTTTGGGATGTTAGACCGTGTTTCGTTTTTTTGCCTTGTGAGCTCCAGTGGTTACTTATGTTGATTATACACGGCCTTGATGGCTTTAGCTTCCGGGCCCTCTCAGAATGATCCCTCTCTATGCTGCTGCCCCAAGCCCAAGTACCAAATGATTGCCTGCTTCGGACTCTTAGGGTTCACATATCATAGCGATAGTATCAATAAGACGGAGAACGGCACGACAAATAATGAGGTGTCCTACGTCTGGGCTGACACATCTAGGGCCTCTGCTGGATCATTAGTAGCTAGGGGTGGACTCCAGGTGTTCAGGGCAGGTTGTACTGGAAAGTGTTTTTGTCGGGCTTCTATCGGGCGTCATCAACATTTGCTTATGGTTGTGAGTTTTGCGTACAAGCATTGAACCTTAACACTTAAGCCTTAAACATTGAACCTTAACACTTAAGCCTTAAACCCCAAAACCCTGCCCGGAAATCCTAAACCAAAAGACCACTGAAGACGTCCATATTAATTACGCGTGTGACCCAATCCTTTTTAGCAACCCTCATGGATCCTTTTTTATTACAGGAGCCCTTGCGCTACCCCTAAACCCTGACTAATCTGGGCCCTCGATCCTTTACAGCAGCCCTTACCCTACCCCGAAACCCTGACTACCCTAGGCCCTCAAGCCCCGAAGCACAAGCCACCGCAAGCCCCGCACTCCAACAGCGTCCCTGTTCCCAGACTGCTTCCCCTAAACCCCGCATCCCAAAACATCATAAGATCCTCAAAATCCGTGAACCCTAGCTCGCCTTAAGCTCCCCCCTTTGGGCCGGAATGATTAACTAGTATATTATTCCATAGGGTTCCTTATCACATATGTACTACGATCTCCGAATAAGCGTTATAGAGCCCCGACTTTAACAGGAGCCCTTAAAGGAAATCTAAGGCACCTGTGTAAGAAAGCCTCAAATAACAGGAGCCCTCAAAGGAACACTGTTCCACGCAAATTTAGGCACCTTGATCCCATATGGTAAGCCCTATAGGAGTCACTCAAGGAACTCTATTCTACTTCCTAGTAGTAGGGTAGGTAACCTTTAACCTTGTTTGGGTAGTGTAGTCCCTATATAGTCCCTACATAACCAAGAAGGTTCACCTTTAGTTCCCCATGATACCCGACAAGAAGGACTTGATTTGGGCACCTTAAGATCCCATAAGGTAAGCCTCCTTCAAGGAACTATATTCTACTTAGTTAGTTTAGGATTTAGGGTTTAGGGGTTCTTCTACTTCATGTAGGCACCTCTTTCGGAAAGCCCGAAAGGTTCCTTGAGCTCCCTGCGGGGCCTCGCGGCTTTCGGGCGCGGCTTTTGGCGGAGCTCCAGGCGAGTCCGGGGTTGTTTCTTTCTTGTCTTGTAAAAAAAAGGTTTCGGGTTAAAGGTGTAGGGAACAGAAATCACAACATAACAGTTGTGCAATTTGTTGCGTTTTGTTGCGTTTGCCTTCCCTGGTCGTGTTGTTGGTTGGGTTCTTCGAAACTGTGGGGCAGGGGTTTTGGGGTCGAGGGCTATAAACCTTGAACCCTTAAAAGCCTAAAGCCCAAATCTTCGCCGTTTGGGGCTCAGGGGTCGAGAAGGCTGCCGGGCTCAATCTTCTCCCATGAGTCGCACGCATGTTCGAGCAAGGAGCCAATGCTAATCTAAATCACCGCCTCCAGATTATTGTCCGGCTGTTTATAGTTATATATGTGGTATATGTGTATGTTTACATGTACATTATTCTCCTCGTTACACTGTTATGTGTTATACATCATACACTCCATACATTTCGTATCATCAAATTTACACCCAAGAACAACTGTAGATGACCCTGAACAGTAAACCCAACACACGTGTACTTGCTGTAAGACAAAAGGACTTGGTTCGGCTGTGGTCTTCTAGTTCTATGGGTGCAACGCTCACGGGTATGCCATTGGAGTCAGAACTTTGTGTGGAGCACAATGTAAGCATCGTGTCTGTGTTGTTGACTTGCTAAGGCAAACGGGGTTATTGATCAAGCGCCTTCACTAGCAATGTGAGGAGGTTCCGCACATCGGCTTTCGGATTCCGATTTCAAGACAGTGCGATCGTACCTGACCTCTCTAACCGAGGCTAACCTCCCTTCGCAGTGGAGAAGCTTCCCCAGAGTCATGCAGAAAGGAGGCTACTAGCAGTGGCCAAATGAAACCACATGCATAAACAGAAAGAGAGCCTAACTCAAGAATCCTTAAGCCCAAACCTTTACATGGCTCTGTAAAGGTCCCTCACATACCAGGCAAGGGAGGCTCAATGTGGTCGCCGTAGATCCTGGCATAGGGTGTTGGAGTATAGTATATTCAGAGTCTCATCTGGGTATGTTACTGTTCAGACTTTTATATGGGAGTTTCCGAAAACAGGGGACCCTAATATAGTGCCCTACATAGGAGGATCCTCATTATAGGACCCCAAAATAAGGTACCCCTAGTTTGCGGGAACCCTCATAATTTGTTTATGGGTTGTTGTCCGTATCATCTTTCGCTTTGAGGGCTCGTTGCGAAGAACCCGATCCTCAACTTGAAGGAATTGCGTTGTGTAGTTTGTAGTTCCGAAGATTTTGAAGAAGATGCCTGAAGCTTGAAAGCCTCATCCTTGCTTCTCCTCTAACAGAGAGCTAGTTCCGATCTTTAGGAATTAAGATGCCTGGTTTGGAGTCGACGCTGTGATCTGGTTATTTTGAACAACATCACCCCTTGTTGTAGCAGCCCCTCCGGGTTCAGGAGATAGCAAATTGGTCCTTTGCAGGTTGTTTGTTGCGTTACTTCGTCTTAGGGGTCTGGAACACGGTTCCATAGCGAAGGTCCATGATGTCCGCAACTCCCACATTGGGCAAAGGTTCACTATCACTAACCTACCCATCAAAGCCTGAAACCCTAAGCCATAAGCCCTTAAACTCGACAGCTGAAATCCTGAACCTGCCATCCGTCTCCAATTCCCCGGGTCTGTGGCAGGAGGAAGCCGGCAAGGAGGAGAGCAAGATCACTGGAGGAGTACCTCGATAGCCTTTGTAGTCTGGGCTTTGGAGTACTATACTTTCATACCTTTTTTTCTTAGAGGAGCCATTATGAAATAATTACTTAAAGACTTAAAGGCATACTTTCATACTTTTTTCTTAAGGACCCGTTATGTTTCTCCCTGGTTACTTAAAAGTCCAGTAGTTTAGCGTACAGGAGTCAGATCTTTGCTTGGGGATCTCCTGTTAGGGCAGGGCTTGTGGTTTTCTGTGCTAAAGAAGTTACCATGATATGGATCTATGGTAAATAACAGTGTAACTTAAATGGCACCCTGAGAGTAAACCTCAAAAAGTTTGAAGCCGGATTAAGGCCAAATAGTGCCGGGATTCGCTACACATCATTCTTAAGCTTTGAGGCTATTGGGTTTCCAACTTTTGGGGTTCTACTGTAAGGTTTTGGGGCAGGCATTTAGGATTGGGTACGACACGTTGCAACTGGTGAGAGTCCCTGCTTACGTACGGTCGAAGGCCTTTCCATCGCGCTTGGTTGCGGTTTAGGGTTTAGGGGTTTAGGGTTTAGGGTTTGCTGTAGGGGTGGAATAAATTCAGGAATAGAGCAATTAGTATAACTATGCCTTAGGATTCCTTTTGCTAGGAAGCCTTATTCTAACTATACGAAGCCCTTGACGTGAGGGAGGTCTTTCGATGATTCCTTGTTGCAGGCATCCGTCCCGTCTCAGGTCCTGCGCCCCCAAACCCTAATATGGGTTGTCAAAATTAGGGTCCCTTTTTGGGTACCCCAAATATTAGATGCCGTACGATATTAGGGACCCAAAAAGGAACCATAATTTTGACAACCACCCATATAGGGGCCTGAATAATGAGAATAGGGTTTGGTGGAGTGGGGGAGGGGGGGTACATTCTACAATAACTTAATGGGGAATTCCCAAAATAGTATTGGTAAGAATTATCTAAATTATTTTGGGGGGTTCCTTGGTAGAAAGATAGTGAAATACAACCTTATTTACAGAACCCCGATATAGATCCCTTTTAAGAAGGCCACTATCTTAAGCACATGAGACACCTGGCATCCGGCAGTAACCCAGACCCCCGGAGGATCTAGAAAGTAGATGCCTTAATTTGGGGCCCTATACTACTAAGGGTACTTTATAGGAACCCCCATGAAGGGATCTACGTTGTGGATCCTCCCGGGGGTCTGGGAAACGAAATGCAGAGAATAGGGTCCTAGGGCGGATCGGGGTTTAGGGTTAGGGCTTAGGGTTGGAACATGGTTTTAGGAGGATTGGTGCTAGGATTCCCTCTATTTTACCTTAGGGGCATGAGGACCTTGATGTTCCAACTTTCTGGCTTCTACTCTAGGGCGGATCGGACTGAAAGGGGTCTTAGGGTATCTTATACTAGGCTCATATTACGGGGAACCGGTTTTGAGTTTAGGGAACCGTGAGGAGTGGCATTGCTAAGTGTGCAGGTTTCTTGTAGATTCAATGTCCCCATACGGGTTTATGGTTTAGAGGCTACATACTATACTAGGGTCCTGAGTAGCCGCTTTAAAGAAAGCAAGTCAAACTGTTACCACTACTCATAATGCTATTAAAAACACTAACAATAGAAACCCTAAACCCTAAACTCTTACACCTTTCACGCGAGGTTGCAGCGGCCGTGAAGCAGTGCGCCGCCGAGACCATTCAAGACCCGGAGCAGACGTGCGCTTCGGTCTGACTTATGGGCAGTTCTCTAAATTAGGGTCCCTTCGAGGGTTCTTTTTCCAAAAGGGACCGGACAATATTTAGAGAACTACCTTCATTTTAAGGGACGACGAGGCCACATCAAAATAACCACTGAAAACTCGTCCCCTCACACCAACAGTACTTGAAGGCTCATGGGACTTAGTAAGTAAGGTTATAAGTAGGTTATACGTAGGGTAACCCCACTTAGGGGACTTATAACCCCAATTATAACCTACTTACCATTCAAGTGTGGTGTGCGGCGGCAGGTTGAGAAGCAACCGACTTCAGTCCCAGAAAGGTTTGTGTGCATGGAATCAAAGGGGAAAAGGAGGGACCCTTAATGGGGACCCCTGGGTCCCTATAATGGGGCTATATAATCGGTATATAATAGCTATATTAAGGGTATATACCTAGGGGTCCTTATTAGGGGTCCCTCCTTTTATTCTTTGAGGGAAGCTAAGGGTTTAGGGTTTACCTCACCCCAAAGAAGCCCGGACCGGATGACCCCGCCTTGCCAAGGAAGGACTCGATTGATTGCCGGTTCTGCCACAAGGAGGCTGGGTTCATTGAGCCGGAGTGTAGTATGGGGGGCACAAATAACCACCAATAATACTATTTTGGGGGGGGCGTTCCTCATTACAACTAAAGTATAATCTGCCCCCATACCCTATTCTAATTATTAAGATCTCTATATTAGCAAGAGACACGGCACCAGGCATCAGGCATAGAAATCCGATTTGCTGCTGAGAACGAGGTACTGGCAGCTCACAAGGACTTCCCCATCGCCGAGTCCCCCGTCCTTGAAGATTAGGCGTGCTAGAATGTGGGAGTTTCCGAAAATAGGGGTACCTTATTTTGGGGTCCTTATATTAAGGATCCTACTATTTGGGGTATTATATTAGGGTCCCCTATTTTCGGAAACTCCCATGTGCTCAAGACTTGAATGACCAGGGCCTCACCACCGTGAAGTCACGGAGGTCTCGAAACAGTAGTCTGTCGAGAGCGCAGCATGCTGCAGAGTTAGCCCGCTCCAAAATGAACCCTCTTTGGGTAGACGGAAAGTAAAGGTCAAAACATCAAGAGTTGGAGCTCTTCGGAGGGTTTAGGGTTTTGGATTTAGGGTTTAGGGTTCCACTTTCTTCGCCGAAAATGGAAAGCTCCAGTGGTTTCCTTCATATTCACATCGAAAGCCTCAGGGTTCGAGCCGAAGTCCCAGGGGATGCCTCTACTAAAAGGATCATGGGACTTAATGACTAGGGTTATAATTCGGGTAACTATACTTATAACGACTTATAACCCCAATTAAGGTACTTGTAAGCTTACTTACTAATGATCCTTCAAGTAGGGTTCCCTTTAAAGGGATCCTTAAAGGGGTCTAGAAGGGATCTATATCAGGGTTCTATGTTAAGGGCTTCAATAATTACCTACACCATTTTGGGGAAATCCCAGGATGCTTTCCCCAAAGCGTCCCTACTTCTAGGTAAGATTCGGAAAAAATGTCCATTCAAAAACTCTCAATACTAATGTGACGATTCAATAGCGGTCCCACGCATGCTCGAACCGACCTTACGGTGTCCAGTCAAAAACTGGGAAGAATGTATCAAAGCTCTCAGTACTCATGTGTTTGGTTTTCGCATCGGTACCTACTCCTAAGATTCCGCGCTAGGAGTTTGATGCATGTCATGTCTAGCGCCGAGGGCTCTCCGCAAGCACCGGCTGAAGGACCCGGGCATTTTGTGACTAGGCTGCAATCTGGTTCATGCCTACCTGAGTTCGTCAGCCTTGCTTCGTCTTTGGAGCCGACGTGAAACGTCCTCTGAGAGTCGAAGTGCGGCAGTTTACATCAGATGCCAGTCTGTGCCTAGCCTTTGGCAGGCAAGTAGTTGAAGCAGAGTCCTTGGAGCGACGTCCAGTGTCGGAGAGCACTCGGACGCCTCGATGTTCTTCAGCGCGTCAGGGACCGAAAGATCGGCGTCATGGCGGTAAATTTGTGCCAGTTTTTGGTCATCTTATGATTATAGAAATGTGCTAAGCCCCAACACCTACTCTCATGAGTCAGGCCCATTATATCACAGCCCCAACCTTAACCTCCCCTTTGACACCTCGGATCGTTTCGGTTGTCCAGGGCGAAAAGCACGTCGCCGGAGTGAAAGGGTTCTATCACAGGCTTTCCTAGAAGGATCCTGTAAGCGCTCCTTTAAGAGTACTCTCATAGGGTTCTACAAGGAGGGTCCGAATGACTACAAATGTTTTTCCCTTCTGGTTCTTCAGTAGGATCATACACAAATATACCCCCCTGAAAGCCCTGTACACATCATGAAAGCCCCAATACTAAACCATAGTAGACCATAGTGCTCAACAGGGATTGCTATAAGGGTTACTTTGAGGGTACTCTCATAGGTTTCCTTCTAGCCTAAGAGGCTTCTCTGAGGGGAATTCCTGGGTTCTTTGTTAAAGGATTAAAACGTCAAGTTTCCTTACTCGGGATCTGTGGTAAATGATAGGGTTTCAGTTAACATATTAGGGATTGTTAGTAAAAAATATGGTGTCCTTCTTATGCTAACTTATATTAGATCCCTTCACAAGAACCCAGTTTCTTCCCAGTATGCTCAGAGCTGCGATTGCAGGTCTGTTGGCGGCAGCAAGGTGATGACAGGACGGAGGGATGGGGCTTAGGGTTTGGGCTTTAGCGCTTGGGGTTCTGTGTGTAGGGTTGAGGGATGAGAAACTGTGACTTGATTTGCTTGCAGCTCTTGCGGAAGTAGCGTCAGCTCTGTATCCCAAGTCCTTGCTCTAACTTCTTTTTGGTGCATGCGGTGAACTATGCAAAGGGGTGCATAATAGCTAGAACTGACCCAGAAAGCCCATTACCCCTTAATTCAGGAATATGGCTTAAATTATATAGGGCTTCATATTATGGTTTAAGCTATATTCCTTAATTAACGGGTATTGGGCTCTCTGGGGAGATGGGGCTGAACCCTAAGCATCTCTCTGGGTCGTTTGCTTGCAGGTTGGTTCTGAACCTCCACGGAATGAGCTGATGCCTTGTTTTGCTGTTTCTAGTGATAGTGCCATTGCCACTAAACCTGATGGAAGAATTGAGAAGTGTGTTCAAAGTAGTGCATGAAAGATCATCGTACTGGCCAACGTACACATGGCTGCCTGTTCATTGGATGACCACGATGGTACATGGTACTTCTTGGAATGCCGTCCTCTTTGGCACTGGGCCAATGAACAGTCTATGTGGTACAATCAAGAATCGTGTGGCCTGCAGGGTGAGTGCCAGGGACAGAAGAGGAAGAGGCAGGAAGAAACTGTTAATGCCCGTGATGTGCTCGGAGCACATGCGCCGGCAAACGTCTGGCGGGCATGATGGTCCTGGCAGTGTTGGCGTCACAGACGTTTTCGCCCTGTGCTGGGAATTGGTGCCGTTGTCGTCAGCCCCTCAAGAAGATTTGTAAGCAGGTGCTGGACCATTTCTGTCTGCAGCCTCGTCCTTAGCACCTATGTAAACTTAGAAGTCTTGCATCGGCAGTGTCAGGGGCCGACGACATCAGAGTGGTGCCCGCGGAATTCGATAGCTGTGTCTGATCGTGCAGACAGTCTCGCGACGGACATTGGAATCCCCAGAGATCCCTTCGAACGTAAGTGCGAAATAGAGGAAATCAGGCAGTGGCCACGCCTCTTCAAAAGGCATCCGAAATCAGCTTCATCGACCTTTTTTGTTGCCATGTTTCGCTCATCCTCTGCTTCGTCCTCAGTCGCAGAAGGGGTTTTCGCTCTCCTTGGCAATGGCTCACATGCAAGCCTTCGCCCTCAAGACATCAGGCATCATCGCTGGGGCAAAAGAGACTTCTTCCTTAATGTAGGAACCTGACTGATTAAGAAACCCTGGGTCTTCATTAGGGTTCCTTATATGAATCCTAGTATTTGGGGGTTTTGGGGCCAGGGTTTCCAGGTTCCTATCTTACACCACCGGCGCTGCGTTGAATCCTGTGAGCCATGAGGATGATTTTAGGGGCCTAAATACTTACCAATACTCTTTGGGGGTTTCCTTCAAAGGGTTCCTTAAAGGGGCCTATGAGGGATCTGTAATAGGGTTCCATGATTATAGGGGCCTAAATAATTATCAATGCTCGTTTACAGTAGAATGGGCCCCAAAACCCTTCTCCAATTGTGAAGGCCCCGATGTTGGGGGGCCTGAACCAGGAGTAATCCCACTATCGCCCAACATTCCGTCGTTGAGTTTCGGCCAGCACTGCCCAAGCCCCAGCCTAAGTATGTCTTTGCCTCACTGTTGTTGGCTTCTTAGCTGTCTCCTGCAGCACTCTCATGCTCAAGGCGAGGGTACAACTGATCTCCCAAGCCCTCCCTGCAGCAGCTGGGGTTCTGGCGAGATGTTAGGAACAAGAACATGCAAAAGCGCCATAGCACCGCTCCGGCGAAGTGGCTACGCTATGCAGCAACTTTACATGCGTGCACTTACCTTTTTCTGTCTATGTCACTGTGTAGACATACGATACACTTGCAGACATGTGTATGAGTGTTCTGCGAAAGTATGCAAACCGCATATGTGGGTATTCTTTTAGATTGGTCCGGGGTGCTTGGGGGGCCAACGCGCAGCTGGACTCCTTCCGCAGAAGCCCAGGCGCATCCCAGCTCGAATGAAACCTTGCGAAGAGTTCCGTCGGAGTTTCCGGTGCACCGAACAGAGAAGCCTGAAGCATTGGTAGTACGATTCCTCAGGGTTCCTTAACACAACTATACTACAATATACCACCAGGGATGGTCTGCATAAGGGCAGTATAGCGTGTTCATAGCCGCTTAGGGTCTATCTATCTTGGGGTTTAGGGTTTAGGGTTTTTCAATAGTCATGCCAAACTCATGGAAGTCTTTGACCTTGCGGCGGGTCTAGCATGGTTTCGTTGCATGGAAAAGCTTCACCTTGTTTTGAGGGCCGCAGATGCCTTGCGTCCCTCGATGAGCTTTCCCTGGCCTTAGGGTCGTTTAGGATGCAGGTCCTGTAGGTTACAAGGTTTAGGATGTAGGGTTTAAGGTTTATAGGACTTCGGACTTCCTACATCCACTTGCTTTAAGGACATTCGGATTTCGGTGAATAGTCCAACTGCAGGTGGTTTGATATTCGGCGAGCATTGCAAAAGGCCTCCCTCGCCGTATCGAACCCCACAATCCTTCCCCCTCTCAGCTAACTCTAATCTTTATTTCGATTACAGAGTATCCTCAAGGGGTTGTCGGAAAATTTATGTCCAAATACCTAAACGCGAAACCCCCAAGCCACGTTGCTCAAGATATTCCATTGTTGATTGTTGAGGCCTTGTTGGCCCCGATCAGAGCCACGTGGCGTGTGGACCCCGGGCAGAGTCATCTTGTGCTTGCTGGGGGTTTGAAGGAAGCCTAGTAGTAGAGCAGGTAGCTTTAAACCTTTTTTGGGTAGTATAGTCCCTATACAATCCCTATATATCCACAAGGTAACCTTTAGTTCCCCATGATACCCGACAAGTAGGGAAGCATGGCTGGAAGTCGCGTACCCATTGGTGGAGAAAGGCCCTTGGCCGCTGGGAAAATGCGGGAAGTCCGTGCAAGATCAGAAACGAAACATACCTCCTGTAATGAATAAGAGCCTTTGTCATTGGCATAGGGTTTTCGCGGAATGTTACAGTATAAACGTCAATTGGCGAAAAGGGGCAATGCGGCTGTAGCTTCAGTTCATGATCCAAGACTTTGCCCCCTTAGCATACGTTTGTTCATTACATGTTTCTGCAGGACGGTGTAGACGGACATCTAGACTGCGCACTTACCATACGGGCCTTAACGATTACCTATACTAATTGCGGGCTCCTTATTATAATTAGAGTATAATGGACCGCAAAGCCCTCTTCTGATTATTAAGGCCCCTGTATTAATTTAGCTAGTCGATTCATAGCCGACAGGTTTGCCGAGGCGGTAGCGCCGCATGAAATAGACCCTGTGCTGGGGAATTTTGGGAGGGGTGCATATCGGGCTCTGCAGTATTAACTGCAACTTGCGGTGCTGGCAGTAGACCAGAAAAAGAATAAGCCTGGGCAGCAGCGGCAGCAGCAGCAGTGCGTAGCAGTACATAGTAAAGGAGCAAAGGAAGACACGGTCTGCCATGAGAAAGAGAGCGATTCCGCAGTCTTCGGCCTCAGCAAACAGGCTCGCTGGTATGCTGAAAGGCACCTCAGCAACTGATACCGAAGCACGGAAGACTGGAGATAGCATTCCTCTTACCACGCAGCTTCGAGATGTAGAAGTATGGTTCCTTCCCTTGCTATACAACGACTGTCTAATATAGAGGCCTAGATAGTTACCAATACTATTGTGGGCGTTCCTTAGTTGGTTATAGTACAATATACCCCAAAGCCTTATTCTGATTATTAAGGCCCCTTGATTACATAGCCCAAATCGAACCCAGCTCGAACCTCTTCTCGAATAAAGCAACAAGACTTGTCACAACGCCCTATTGGATACGCCTGTTGTGGACTCGATGCATGGTATGGGGCAGTAAGGACCGGTTCTGCGAACTCTACTAGCATTAGCACTAAGCCTACGTGTCGGAGCAGCAAGCCCACCTACTTGAAGGCTCATGGGACTTAGTAAGTAAGGTTATAAGTAGCTTATATTAGGGTAGCCCCACTTAGGGGACTTATAACCCCAATTATAACCTACTTACTAAGTCCCATGATCCTTTTAAGTAGACTCGTGCTTCCTCTCGCCCTCTCGCTTGACCCTCAGCCCGGATACTGTAAGCCCGTGTTCAGCGATCTCTCGGCGATGAAGCTGCTTCCCCGCTTCGTGCTTGCCGGCTGCATCGTCGCTCTAGCTCTTTGCCGGCCCACGCAGCTCGGACGCAAGCTAAGGGGCCCAGTGCTACGGTAAGTCTCATGTTCGAATTAGGGTTATTATTATTTATTGTTTTTTTTTGTGGGGCGGGGGTTCTGGATTTTGGGATGGATCTCTCCTGGCATATTATATTCCATTAGAGTTGCTTAGGCCCCGGCTTGCAGAACCGACTAGGCTCCGTGATCTTGTTGATGAACCTTCAGAAGATACAAGCCTAAACGCTAAGACCTAAACCCAAGCCTTAGGATTTGGGCTTGTTCGAGTCAAGAGATCTCTCGGATCTCGAACGAGCTCTTGGGAAGGGAGGTGTACTATAGGGGGTCTTAATTTTTACCTATACTATTTCGGGGGTTCCTGCTTACCAGGTATACTATAATATACCCCCTAAGGCCCTAATTTTGAGAACTGGCACAGCTCTCCGTGCACCAATCCCTCACGCTAGGTTTGCATGGCTTGGGACGGAATCTCCCTCCTTATCTCTAGGTTCCTTACACTAAACCCGAAGTATCACGTTTGACGAGACTGCGGCCAAGGGAACATCAGCTCGCTCTGAGCTGGTCCAGTGACCCCCTAAGGGGGTTTAGAGGATTTTGGGCGGGCGGATTAGGGTTTAGGGGCTTGGGGTTTCAGGGCTTCGGGTGTCCCAAACCCTGAAGCGAACAAGCGCGGATGATGCTTGCAGCAAGCGTTTCCATACAGGGAGATTGAAAGTGCAGTTTGTGCTGCAGTCTCCGATGATGCTACAACAGTGAAGACTCCATAATGCTACAAGGGGGCTAACACCATAATAGGACGAACTACAGGCACCATAAACACCATGATAAATACTACCATACGCAATGCTACTCGTAAATGCTTTTTGGGGCTGGCTTCGGGTTTTAAGGCTTTTGGGTTTTAAGGCCTTAGGGTTGTAAGGCTTTAGGGTTTTAGGGTTTACTGAACCGGAGACCTTCCAATCTGGTCGCTTGAGCTGCAGCTCTCCATCCCAACTTCGGGGAGGCCTAGGACTACAAAGTCTTCTCCTGGGTGACTGGGTTCCTTTACGGGTTCTGCAAGGGTACTATAAGGGTTCCTTTAAGGGTTCTGCAAGGGTTCTATCTGGCTACTATAAGGGTTCCTGAGTGGTACCCTTTTGCATTTTTTAATTCAGGGTCCCCTTTATGAAAACCGAATAGCAGGAAAAAGCGTACCCTTATTATGAAGGGGCTACTCAGGAACCTAGGTGATAAGTCCCCTGCTTGGAGTTATCTATAAATGGAGCACTACATCTACTCAGCCTAGTTACGAAGGCATTTGGGTTGGGAACAAAATCGTGTCAATCATAAAGCCCTCAACCCTACGTAGACTGGTACCCGGAACCCTAAACCCTAAACCCTGAACCCAAAGCCAAAGCCCTAAGCACCCGGAACCCTAAACCGAACCTTAAACCCTGGGGCCCTAAACCCTGAACCCGAAGCCCTAAACACCCTAAACCTTAAGACCCGAAGTTGTGGGGCTGCAGGCTCCAACTTCCCAGAGCATTCCTGGCATCGGCGGGTCGCGCGGATCCCCTGGGCTTCGCGACGAAGAGGTCAGCAAGGTGTTAGACGAACATAGAGCTTTCTTCGGGCATGGGTCCAATACGTGGTTATAGGGCTGATGGTTTGGGGTTTTATAATGCTTCATGTGGGGGGGACATAGGGTTTAGGTTTTCGGGTGTAGGGCCTTCAGGATTCAGGGCCCTAGGGTTTCCTGGGTTTTACGGATTTTAAAAGCTGTGTTGAGAGGTTTCAGGTTTGGGGCCATAGGGCCGGTTGCCTATAGTTACGTACTAAACAGAGGGTTCTTCTATAGTCGCAGTCAAAAAGTGGCCTATGATGAGTGGTGCATTGATGTTTCTATGAGTTGGAAGCTTCTGACAACCTTGTTCATATGGGTCTATGTTCCCTACTGCCGACAGCTGTCCAAAAACATGCATGACCATGTCGTCGTTTCTTTGTCACTGTCTCAAGTCAGCATGACCTGGTGTGTAGAGAATTACATGCATTTCCTTCAGGCTCTCACAGCACTAAGCCGAAACTCCCAAACCGCGGCTGTTGAAGCATGTCGGCAGTTCAGGTTTGCGGCAATACATACAGCCACCAGAGCCTTGCAACGCTGCGCTTAAACCCCCCAAAGAACTTCGTGGGGGTAGTCCGGGCGATTCACTCAGACCACCCAAGACGTTGATTGAGGAAGAGTCCGCACATCATAATAAGAGGCCCCCCTAGATGATGTAAGGACTGTAAGAAGCAGACATGACACGATGCTGTTAGATCAGTGGATGCATGTTTTCCAATTATCGGGAGCGGCAGAAATTCGGAACATGGGGTAAAGATTGTTCGTGCTCGGCTTCCCTATACCCCTCAGCCCTAACACCCCAACATGCCTAAAACCTCTAGCGAGGAGGGGAGTAACATAGAAGCCGCAAGTATTACCAACATTATTCTTTAGAGCTCCTTAGCATAATTATACTATAAAGGGCCCCAAAGCCCTGTAATAATTATCAGGGCTCCTCTACTTTAGGACCCTACTGTAGATCCCTTACAGAGCCCTTTCAGGATCCCTTTAAAGGGACCCCTATTCTAAGTATTAAGGCCCCGGCAGTATCGGCATCTCCTTTTGCAGGCGTCCCAATCTCGGAAGCAAGCTCCCCCTTGCAGCAACAGGCGCGCGCTAGGGGGCCTTACTACGGGGGCTTTAAGAATTGTGTATACTATGTTGAGAGTTCCTCACTATAGTTAAAGTATTCATATACCCCAAGACCCTGTTCTAATTATTAAGGCCCTATATTACCCTAAACCTGGCAACCCTAGCTCCTGGAAAGGCCTCAAACCGAAACCTCTGGAGGCTTTGCAAGGAATTGCTGTGCGCTTGGTGTAGGCTTCCAGGTTTCAAGTTCAAAGCTCTCGGGTTTCAAGTTCGGGTCGCGGCTAGTTGTGCGGCCTCTGCATAGGGGCAGACAGACATACTTTAACCAACCAAAACCTACTATCGAGGTAAGGCCCCTGCAACTTTCATATCAGCTTTTGTGTGAGATCCCGTTAAAAAGTCGCGGAGCAAGGCGCTTGAAGTAAAAACTGGTGATTGATCTACATCCATAAGCATCGCTACATTAGTTAGCCGCACGTAATGGTAGCTTAAGGTAGTGACCATGTGAAAGGCTTATGGCCTAACATGTCCTGCGCAGCTCCTTGCGTTCATCATCGTAGCAGCCCATACCCTGTACCCAAAAAAGCCCGAGTAGTAGAGTAGGTAACCTCTAACCTTTTTTGGGTAGTATAGTCCCTATATAATCCCTATAACCAAAAAAGGTTGAGGGTTCAGTTCCGCATGATACCCGACAAGTAGGAAACCCCTAAAAGCCCAAAACGATAAACCCTAGATCCCTGAATCCAAACTCATGCCACCCCAACATCTAAACCCTAGATTCCAGGAGCTCACACCCCTATAGAACCCGTCTGGCAAGCCTTACGAGAGCCCTTAAACAACCGAGTCAGGTGCCGATGTGGCTTTCAGCTTCACCAACTTGCTGGTGGAGGAGGGCTGAATATGGGGTTCCAAAGAGGGTTCTAGTGAAAATAAGCGCCTCAATTTAGGGGTTACTTTTTATGGTTATAGGATAACGCATCCAAAATGCTAGTCAAATTATTATGGCCCCTTTTTATGATTATAGTATAGTTCCGCCCAAGTCCCTATCCAAGTCTCTCAAATCACAAATGAGGGAGTTCAAAAGGCTTCAATATGTGTTGAAGCTTCTCCTGTCTAAACATGCTTCGAGTAAAACAGTTTAGGCGGCAACCCTGTGCCAATTGTGTGCTAAACCCTAGGTCCAAATTCCGAAGCCCCTGGAACGAGTGGGGTTTCAGGACACACCTCCCGGGATTTCTATCCACGACATCACGCCCCAGGCAGGTACGAGCTTGAGAATAGAGGACCCTGATGATGATGATTATGATGATGACGAAGAAGGTGAGGATGATGATTATGACGGCGATGGTGATGATGAGGAGGTTGATGACGAGGATGATGATGACGACGAGGATGACGATGATGATGATGGTGATGGTGACGATGATGTCGCTGATGATTGCTATTATGGATGCCTGCCTCAGTAGAATTTTCCCTTACTACCGTTCCGTGCTACCAGGACCTCTAACTGAGGTATCGCAAGATACGTATAGGGAACGATCGCGGTAGCCTGAGGAGCAGCTTGTATGCGTGTGTATAGCTTTAATATTTATATGTATGTATATATATATATATATGTACATGTGTGTATTTATATATATGTATATACATATTATGTGTGCGCTTGCATGTATGTACGTATGTATGTACGTATGTGTGTGTGTGTGCGTGCATATATATATATATATATATATATGTATATATATATATATATATATATATATATATATGTCTGTGTGTGTGTGTGTGTGTTTTATGCTTTCTTGTTTAACGGCTCGGTATTCTCAGGATCCTGCTATTTCCGGTTCTACAATTCCTACGTTAGGGTCCCTCGCTCCTGGAAACTCCATATGACTGCTCTAGGCTCTCGAGTGTCCTGACTGGATCTAGGATTTAAGGTTCAGTGCTTTTTGTGCAGGTGCGTGCCTGCGTAGCGAAGCACTTCGCCAACAGGAGGCACGATTCAGAAGCTGGAGTTTTCCTAAGCTACAGGTAGGCCACCATGGTTAGTAATGTGCTTCAAGGGGCTTTCGGGGTCAACCCAGACTACCTTAACCGACTTTTCTTCTGCTGGCCTCAGCTATACGAATACAAAGCCTAACGAGACTCTACCATCGAAAGCATAAAGCGGCAGCCGATTCGATCAAAGTGCTTCGGCTTCCTGTGCGGGCCCAGCAGGGACACTGCCGCAACGTCGAAGCCTGAATGCTTAGCCGTGTAATTCCTCAGTTTTCCCTGATAGCTGCATGATAGTATACCCATACGCCGTCTTCCAATGATCCAAGCCGCTACGTATTCAACTGCCTTCGTGGAATTCAGGTCCAGTTTTCAGGTCATACCACTTGAAGATGTAGTTATGAGGAGGTTCATCATAAGAGCTATCTCAAGAAGTTTCTAGAGGTATTGTGAGACCTTAACCCTCTGATGTAGCCACAATTAATGCCGTTAGTCAAGCCCTGCGAGGCTGATATCAAGATCCAACACAGATCCAGTAGATCAAGCGGGGGGGGGAAGGTAAGGAAGTGCCGTAGGTTTCGCCTAAACCAAAAGAATCTACGACAGGGGCCTGAATAGTAATCAATACTATTTGGGTGTCTCCTTGTCATAACTATAGTAGAATATACCCCAGAACTGTATTGTAACCCTCGAGACCCCTATCTATACTAAAACCTAGTAGGAGAGTAGGTAACCTTTAACTTTTTTTGGGCAGTATAGTCCCTATAAAAGCTCTATATAACCCAAAAGGTTAACCTTTAGTTCCCCATGATACCCGACTAGTAGAAAATCCTGTCAGCCCCACACTCGTAAACGAATCCCAGAGGTCCCATCAGCGGGATGGTGTCGTGAACCTCATCTCGCGGCATACGACCACAGCAGTGCAAGAGCTCTCCCAGTAGTACTCTTTCGCGTTTTTCTGAGGCTTAGTATGTTTTTTGATGTAACTGGGGTTTATAAGGATTGAAGGTTTGGGGTCCAGAGCTCCTGTGGTTTCCAGTTTACGTCTGGATGGTAGAACAAGGGTACCTGTCTCCTCGATGGGTTGCCGGGCACCCCAGGTGACCATCAACGAAGACGAAGCCCTCCTGCGCAAGGACCTTTGGTATAGTTTAGGCTTCAGGGTTAGTGTAAAGTTTAAGGAGTTTCCTGCCCTCATGACCCTAAGCACAGGATCCCGCCATGCAGAGAAAGCAGAAATGTGCAGTCGAATGCATTAAGCTTTTGTCTGTGCCAAAGGTTTATTTTGATGGTGGCCATGAGGATGATGACGATGCTGGCTACGATGAAGAAGAACATGATGATGGTGATGGTGGTGACACACATGAAGACGGTCATAATAATGAGGTGGCTTGTGTTGAGCTTGCCAACATGTACCAACAAATCACCTAGGTACAACGAATAAATACATGACGTCTACACACGAAAGAACGCCATTGACAGTTGTCAAACCTACACGAGGCAGGCGCCAACTTCAGGACGGCAGCGAGTACACCATTTCCATCACGTCACGCAGATCCAATCTAGTGCGCAATTGCAACGGCCCATGAATGTCGCAAGCAGAGTGGGTTTGCAATATGTCCGTGTCAAAAACCGTGGCTCGCGTCTTCCTGCATAATTAGGATAGTTTGAGAACGGCAGTATCTCGTCTCTGGAATGCGAGCGAAGCTGTAGTCTAGTAGCATCCTGCATGTTGAACGGAAGTTTTGCGAAACCCGCCTAACTGTTGCTGAAGTTCTGTCTAAGCATGCTCATCATCATCGCGCGGATCAGTCTCCAACGGCAATCACCGAGGCCTTCTCCAGGACAGTATTCCTAATTTCAAGGAAGAGGATTCTTAGAGTGACCCACTGACTTCGAAGATGTGTCTGACTGTTTTCCAGCCTCTTCGATCGTATGTAAAAATCCTTCTCCACCTCACTGGCCGTTTTGTTAGTTTTTCAGAGCACTTGTTTGTGCTATGCTTGCTTTTGACTACACATACCGAAAGTAATGTGTCTTTGTAGGCTGCGTTTTTGCTCACAGGTTGTGCGCGGCCCGCTCAATGCAAGGCAAACGTTTCAAGCGGCCTTTCATCCCTCGTTCTCGCGGAAAACATCGCAGCAAGGTTTGATGTTTTGCGGCATTTGACAACCGCAACACATTGGCGCATAGTATGGTAGCGTTTGATTGGGCCATAGATTTCGACGAGTTCATGTAGATGAGGGCTGACCTGTTTGCGCGTGTCGCGTGTATTACGGGCTCGACAGTGGCAGTGGCCCGTCAGTTGTTGGATTTCTGATTGTTGTGGACGGGAAGCATGAATGAAGACTGTTTGGTTCTTGGGTCTTGCTTTGCATATTCCTTCCGCCAGTACCCATCAGCCGCCAAGCCCGCATTGGTACGAGCCCTTGCACATTTGCTTAGATCATCGCTGTTAATTAGGCAGCTTTCTAGGTATGCATGCGATGGCATTGTCGAATTCCCACGCAGCTCATGACAGCATGCGAAACTCACCGCGGGCCAAGCGAATGTTCACGACCCAGTCATATCATGTCGGCACTGAGCCTGAAGCTGCACTGCACAGATCTCAACATTTTCCTCCGCGGCCGCCGGGCAACAGCCAGCACGCAGTCATGTCGATGAAGATGTCTGTGATCCTATAGTCTCCAGTGTACTTCCTTTTTTGGTTTAACCAAATTTCCTTCCCACTTTGACTTCCCGGCCCACCGTGGCTTTCTTCCAACCTGCAGATCAAGCTTGCGAGTTTAGTTTCAGTGAGGGGTCTTTTAGCTGCATATGGGTAGTTGTCAAAATTATAGTCCCTGTTTGGGTCCCCTAATATACTACGGCACCTAATATTTAAGGTGCCCAAAAAGGGACCCTAAGTTTGACAACCACCCATATCCTTCGAAAGGACTGGCGGACAAAGCCTTAGCCTTTTTTGGGTAGTATAGCCGCTATATACTCCCTATATACCCAAAAAGGTTAACGTTTAGTTCCCCATGATACCCGACAAGTAGGTAGGTGCATATCCTTCGAAAGGACTGGCGGACAAAGAAGACCAGGCCCTCAGTCTGAAGATTCCAAGGGTAAAAGGAGGGACCCTTAATGGGGACCCCTAGGTATATACCCTTAATATAGCTATTATGTACCCATTATATAGCCCATTCTAGGGTAGGGGTCCCCACTAAGCGTCCCTCCTTTCCCCCTTTGAAAGATGTTCGCTGCCTGCAGGACATTGCGAACTTCTTGATGCGAATGGCACCACCAGATGCGGTCTTTCGGCTCACTCCCACTTGAAGCTTCAGGGGCAGCCATAAGCAGGGTCAGAAAGGTCTGCCAATGGAGGCTGGAGGAAAATGTTCTCTAGTTACTTTTGTTGTATCACTACAGAGAAGCACTCATGAACTCAATCTGTACCAATCTTTGATGTCCCACATGACCCCAGACATCCCAGAAATTCCGAACTAGACGCCTCTCATGCCTACCCAGTATGCCGACCCATGCGTGTTGCAGACGCCCCCAGTCTAAGTCGGAGTGGGAAAAGTGCCGTTCACACTTCTGCTTCGAGACCAAGAGGTCTGAAAGAGCCTTGTAGTCCCAAGCATCAAAATGAGAGTTTCCGAAAGCCGGGGGTACCTCATTTTGAGGTCCTGATCATAAGGATCCTACTATTTGGCGTAACATATTAGGGTCCCCTATTTTTGGAAACTCCTAAATCATAAAGCACTGGACCAAGGGACTTCATGGGTGGTCTGGGGTTCAGGATTCAGGGTCAGCCGGTCCAAAGGAACAGTAGCAGACTCTACTTGGCCCAAGGAGTACCAGCACAATCACCTCGAACTGCGTCCGGCATCTGACAAGGCCTCCATTCTCCGGTTTAGGATTTCGCGTTTAGGGCATAGGTTTAAACCCGAAAACCTAAACCGTTCTCGTTTAGGAGTGTCACGCCGTTGAAGTTAAACATGTCCTTGCTTAATGACCTTCCATAGGAGGATATATAAGGATGATGGTAGCGATCCTAAACATAGAGCCCCCATGACAAGCCGACCACTGAATCTGCTGGCTGGTTCGTAGCAGGAGCCTCTAGTAGGCTTTTTTGATCATGAACCTATAGTGTCTGACTATGAGGGCTCACTCCTCCACCGGCATTCACTGAACCTCCTTTTCCTGAACATCCCCTGCTTGGAGATGTGCGTTCTTTTGTGCACGCGCAGGACCGTGCAGCGATCGACCGCAACTGGATGTCACAGGCCGCGCCAGCATGCCGGGCATCCGAGCCTCCAGACCCGGCGAATCCTTCACACTGCCTGAACCCTTGAACCCTATACCCTGAACCTTGAAGCGTGGAGCTTCAGGTCCTGGGCCCATAAGCCTCAAGCTTACAACTTAAACCCGTAAATCCTAAACCTCTAAACCTCAAACTGCCTTAGACCAGGAACGCTGAAGAACGGAATGGCTTCGGCGGTTGAAGGCGAAACCTTAGAGATACATCAGGGGCCTAAACAATTACCTATACTATTTTGGGGGTTCCTTGTTGTAAGTATCGTATAATATACCCCCCAAAACCCTATGCTGGTTATAACGACTCCTACAGTACGCCCGATCGCTTCCTGCCCATCTTGCCGCCTGGTTCTGTGCACTCCCACGCATAGGGACCCAAAAAGGACATAAGCATAATACAGGGGCCTGAATAATTAGAATAGGGTTTTGGGGCCCATTCCATTATATTCGTAGTAAGGAACCCCCGAAATAGTATTGGTAATTATTTATGCCCCTATATTATGCATTTCATAAGGATATCCCTACCTTATTGGGCTTCGTTATAAGGCGGGGTCATATATGGGATCTCCCTATCCTTGTTTCTGCTTATGTGCTTTTTTTTTTGGGGGGGGGGGGGGGCTCTCCGAAGCGAAAAAAACTTCAACTATTTGGGAGTTTCCGAAAACTAGGGGTACCTTATTTTGGGGTCCTTATAATAAGGATCCCATTATTTAGGGTACGATATTAGGGTCCCCTATTTTCGGAAACCCCCATTTGTAATTCACCACACCACCCACTCTAAGCCCTGAACACTAACTTCGACCCAAGAAGCTCTACACCCCCGGGGGTCCCCGAGCATTCAAGAACCCGTCTGAGACCCCTCAAGAGCCGGAAGCCCCCATAACCCCTTTAAAGGGAACTCCGGAAAGTTGGAATATGGATTAATGGTAGGATCCCCTATAATTTACCTTAAAGGGGTTACGATAATGATACTCCAACTTTCTGGCTTCTACTGTAATTCATAATAAAACTCCTCTGAAGGCTTTAGGGTTTATGGCTGTATGGTTAGACCATAAACAACCCTATTCCTGAAGCCCCATAACTTCCCCTAATCTCAGGCCTCTACGAGACTTTGTTCGGACCCCACACTCGGCTTAAGCACCATGACCAGCAATATTTCGCCCTCTATTCTAACTATAGTAGAATAACAAGAGATGCGAAAGCCGGCTGCTAGCCAAAAAAAAGGCACCCCAAAGAAACACTAGGTTTCACCATGTCAAGGAACCCTAAAACCTTGGGCCATACCGGAACCCCAAAACCCCTAGAAAACCCCGAAGCAGCCGCCGACGTGTTTCCAGGGCAAGGGCACCTTGGAGGAGTTCATGGCGCAGGCTCCGGTGGAGAGGGGGAGGGAGGTGGGGGTTTTTAGGTTTAGGGTTTAGGGTTGGGGGGTGAAGGCAGCTACATGGGAGTTTTCGAAAATCAGGGGTACCTCGTTTTGGGGCCCTTATAATACGGATCCTACTATATAGGGTACCATGTTAAGGTCCCCCATTTTAAGGCAACTCCCATATGAACGGTTTACGGTTTGCGTTTGCTTTGGGTTTAGGGTTCAGGGTTTATGTTTGAGGGGTCGACAGGGGTTCTAAGGGATGCCCGAAGTAGATGTATGGCTCCTTGAAAGGAAGTATATGGCCAACTACAGGGTCTATGAGAGTTCTATAAATAGGTTTCAAAAGCAAGAAGGGGGGCATCGTGGAGTAATATCGGGGTTTAATAACTACCTATACTATTTTGGGATTTCGAGTTTAGGATTTAGAGTTTGGGAATTTGGGATTTAGGGTTTAGGATTTCGAGTTTGGGATTTAGGGTTCAGGGTTTAGGGGCTAGGAGGATGAAAAAGGAGCACATCGTTGAACGGCTGGTGAAGGTGTGCAAGGAGGGCCAAGGAAATCGCAACATGTTCGCCAATCGTGTTGAGTGGTGATCAGCAGAGGCTTGTGACTACAGTAGGCAGCAACATCCCTCGGGTGTCCTTGCTTCCCGAACTTGGGTCGCAGCTTGGCAGCTCTGTGGAAGATCTAGAATCTAGAATTCTAGAATCACGCCAAAGTAAGTATTGGTCGTAGTCTAGCGTCTTGCCATGTTCTGCCTGGGTTGCATGACGTAGGGTTCGGGGGTATCAGGGCTTGCAGGTTTATGCATCATGCACGGGCTTGAGGGCAAAAAGGGGGCTCCTTTACGCCATCTATTGGGGTTCTACAAGGGAGTTCAGGCAAAATTTCTTTGGCTCCTTTCAGGGAGCTATCAGGGCTCTGTAAGGGTTGAGGGATTCAGGGTGTAGTGTCGGAGAGGCGACAGGGCTGGGGCTTATGAACCTGGGTGTACCTTGTGTAGGGGTATACTGAATAATTCAGCGCCATATTATGGGACTTTCTGAAAGTTCGGAAGGCCGGGTGGCTACCTTCATTTTTGAGTCGGGGTCTTCACAGCACGAATCGTGCTATCTAGTTGGGTTCAAGGTGTTACAAAAGCGTAGCTGAGTTCTTGCATAAAGTCCTTTGCTTGCTTGCTTGCTTGAAACACAAAGTCTGCCCTGCCTTCTTAAAGGCCGCATGACATCACATAGTAAAACGAAAACAAGAAAACGTGACAGGCCTTACCCTCCCAGTATCATCTTATACTATACCAGACTATGTCATAATGTAAAAGTATATTACATATACTCATAGTCAAACGATAACAAGTCAACGTGACAGGCCTGGCCCTTACCCAGTACCAGGAGCCAAAGAACGCTCACTCGCACCTGCTGGCGATCACCATCGGCCAGTCAGAAACAATCCCAGTCGCAGGCAAGGACCGGGGATTTGAGTGGTTGCGTTCTCTTAGTACCAGGCTGTTCAGTGGTACGCTTTTTTACCTTCAGGTTTCTGGGTTCCTATTATAAAACAAGTATATATACTTTTTCCCGGCGGGTTACTGAACAGTCTGGATAACTGAGTAGGTAACCTTTACCCTTTTGGGTTCATATAAAGTCACCACAACTGAAAAGGTTAACCCTTTTTGGTCGAGGGTCCCCAGCCCCTAAGGTTTTCAAAGTCGCCATCTTCCAAAACCTCCTGGAAATGCTAAATCTCACGATGAAAGGGCTGCTGGTTCGAGCCTCTATCAAGGACTGCGGGGCATGCTGGATGAACACAAGGGTGCTGTTTTTGATAGCTTTCATCAGGTACACAGAATGGAAGTACAAGGCACCATGGGAAAATCCACGAGATGCAACGCCCCACACTGCAATCCCCAGAGCCTAAACACTTAAAACCTCAAGTCCTAAGCCTCGAACATGGTAAAACCCCAGCAAACAAGATAAAACCAAAGCCAGCAAGATGAGCAGACCACAACGAAAACTTTTTCGAGAGAGAGAGAGAGCACCAGTGAGAGAGAGTGTGTGTGTATAAATAGATAAGCATATAATATCGATGTGTATATATATATATACATATGCCTATTCTTGTATACACACACGTGTATCACCTGACAAGAGCACTAAGATTGACTGATTGACATTCAGGCGGCGAGCTTGCCTTGGGGCAGTGGCAGCCCCTTGGGTCGATGAATGTGATGCCGAACTCCCTTCAAGGGTTCCTTTAAAGGGTCCTATAAGGGTTCTATTATAAGGGGTCTTAGGGTATCTATAGTCCTTTAAAGGGTCCTATGAGGGTTCTATAAGGGTTCCTTTAACTTACTTGGCCAGTTGGAGAACTTTAAACTTTTCGGCATTATGCAGCTGGTCTATCTTACAAAGTCTGAACATTTTGGGGCCCTGGTTATTGGAGAAGAGAGTTAAAGGGTCCTATAAGGGTTCTATAAGGGGTCTTAGGGTATCTATAGTCCCTGTCTGGTGGTTTGTAGGGAATGGGGAGAATGGATGCCTTTGAGGATTTGAGGGATGCTTGAAGGGGATCTGCAGGGTTTGGGAGTTAGGGATTTGGGGAGTGGATCCATATAGTAGTCTCTATACAATCCCCAGTAATAGTCCCCATAACCCATAACCCCATTCCCTACTAACAACCACACTCTGAAGAAGTCCAAGCGCAGATCGGGGCATTGCCGTCGTTTTTGATACTGTATTTTATACGGGGTCTCGAAGGCTTTTATAACAGCTTAGTAGCTGAGTGGATACACTTTACACTTTGGGATAATGTCACCCTAAACCCTAAATCCCAAACCGTAAACTCAGCAACCAAGACAGAGACTTACAAGATGAAGGCTGTTTCCAAAGAAGGCCTTTAAAGGTTGTTGCATAGAGAGACTCCAGAGATAAAAGTTGGTTCTAAACAAGGTTCCATAGGTTTTGTTTGTTTTGTATCGTGTTTTACCAGGGCTTTCGAGGAGGGGTTAGCAGGATGTTGCAAGGGTTTGGGCTTGAAAAGTTCGTTTAATTTAGGGCCCGCAAGTCAGGTCGCCAAGCAGGCTTTTACAGTCATGCGATCAACGTCAGACGGTTTCATCAATGAGGTCACAAATGAACCCCCCCTTGTCCCTGGACTATCGCAGGGATCCCGATATTCAAGCATATTCAAGCCCTAAAAACAGGAAGTTTAGCAGTTTCGCTGCTAAGTAGCTTCCAACAGCAGCCTGACTCCTCGGTCACCAAAGTTACAGTTTCTTACAACCCCAATTGGGCGTTTCGAAAATAAGGCCCTCGTACAGTACCCTAAATACTATAGTTCCTATTATAAGGACCCCAAAATAAGCTGCCCCTAATTTTCGGAAACCCCCCATTCAGGTACTTAGAACCTTTCTGACTCAGGCCCAACTGCTTCCCCTATCATTTAGAAGACGGGATCGTCGGTCCGGATCTCTAACGACGAGCTCTCGTCGAAGCAAGGCTGACGACTAATCGAGGGGCCTGAATCACTAGAACAGGGCTTTGTAGTATGCTTGAAACATAAGATACATAGGTACATATACAGTACAAACATCCTCAAACATATGTTGCAGATATAAGGTGCTGCAAATAGCAAGAGCGCAGAATTTTCTCTATTAGGTTTCTCGCTTGGTTTGGAGCAATCAGGGTCTTCCTTGGCCGAGGGTGCCACCAAACAGCTCTAAACGTATGAAGTATGATCTGAGTTCATGTTTGCTTCTCTTATTCTATACTAAAGATGAAGTACTTATTAGATACTTATCCCCACACGAACCCGCAGGGTTTGGTATGAAGGTTACGGGTTGAGCCTGAATCCGATCTCACCCACCTGAGAGGCACAAGTGTGCGTTTTGGCTATAGTTGCCCTACTGAAGTATAAGTGGGGTTATAGGTCCCCAAATGTGGGTTTTGATTATAGCTGCCCTACTTATACCCCCCCGTAAAAGGTCCGTGCTGCTGATCGATTTGGATGGCCCTCGCACACGTGCTGTTGGCGTGCAAGTGATGGGATAAATCCGAAGAAAATGATGCCTGCGGAGCTGCAAATTTTTCAGGGAAAAGGTTTCAGGGTTGACCATCTTCCCAAGATGCTCAACAGGTGGCTTCATGGAAGTTGAAGACTACGGGCCCTTTATTAGGCTACCTCATCTTAAGGAGTATCTTGTCATTTGGGGTTGTATCTAAGGGTCTCCTGTTCTTTCAGACTCCCAAGTGGGTGGTTGTCAAAATTATGGTCCCTTTTTTGGGTACCCTAATTATTGGGTGCCGTATTATAAGAAGGACCGAAAACGGGACCCTAATTTTGACAACCACCCAAGTGTTGCCTTGAAGGTTGCTTGAAGAAGTGCCGCGGTCATGTTTGCCTTCATCATCCTGCAGCGACATACACCACATAGCATGGTCGGCGGTTTAGGGTTTCGGGTGTACGGCTGTCAATACGGGGGGACCCAAAAAGCACATAACAATAAGCATTTTACCGGGATATCCCTACCTTATTGGGCTTGCTTTAAAGGTGGTTTATATGGGATATCCCTATCCTAATTTTTGCTTAAGTGCTTTTTGGGGGCCCTAACCACATAGCATGGTACCTTAAAACACAGACAGGTTTTCAATACGGGCAGAAACGTATAGAGCAGATCTGTGTTTGTGCATCGTTTCACGATCAACAGCTGCAGGTTTTGCTGCTCAAGAACTTCATATGACAGCCACACCATCGTAATGTTTTGCACCCTTTCTCCCATAGGGGCACACCATCACAGCCTTTCATCGAAGATCGCCTCCAGTACCCTTCCCTCATCGATACTAATCCTGCTGGCTTCTGCTGGCAGTTCTCCTGCTTTTTCCTGCCAGTGTGGTACTGGTGCAGATACCACCTTTGCAGCTACTGATATTTGTGTAGGACCGCCACCTTGCAATCGGAAATCAGAGTCGTTCCGTGCCAACGCTTGGCGAACTCCCGCGCCGCAGGCCTCCCTTGTCTCGCATCCTTTCTATCAAAGGGCAAATGGAGGGACCCTTAATGGTATTAAGGTTATACACCTAGGGGTCCTTATTAAGGCTCCCTCCTTTTATCCTTGCATTCCCGGGTTCAAGGAATCATTCATCTCTTAAGTAAGGTAACTTTATAGGACCTTAGTACCCTAGCCCCCAGATCCCTCCTCGAAGTGTCGGCTTGTTCGGAACCGCATGTCGACATGTTTCTTCAGGGTCCAACATGCCCACGTCTGCTTTGCAGTTGTGTTGTAGAAAGTCCCAAAACCCTAGCCCAAACATTCAGAGCCTTGTGATTGAATCCCTATGTCCTCAAGCCTAGAAGCAGAGCTTTAGGGACCTAAAGGCCCTAAACCCTCAGTCCCAATGCCTCGCAAGCCTTACATGCTAACACCCTAAGGACCTAGAACCCTACGTAAGGGATCATGCGACTTAGTAACTAGGGTTAGAAGTAAGGTAACTGTGCTTATGATTACTTATAACCTTACTTCAGGTGCTAAAAAAACCTTACTTACTAGAGGCAACTCCAGAAAGTTGGAATATGGTTTCAGGGTAGGATACCCTATAATTTACCATAAAGGGTTTAGGACAATCATATTCCAACTTTCTGGATTTTACCTTAAGTCCCCCTATTATCATTATTATTATTATTATCATCATTATTATTATTACTATTATTACTAAGTCCCCCGATCCTCGAAGTAGAGCCCTGGGAGCTCTGAAACCCAAAGCCGACCATCGAAGTGGCAGGGCCAAGATGGATGCCACGCAAGCATTCTTTACCAACCTAGCTATCGGAGCCGCCGGAATGCTCAGAAGACCACGTCAGGGAGTAGAGCTGAGGATTTCAAGCTGATTGAAGCTCCTGTGTTCGTTCCCGGGGTGTCGGAGGTGTGATAAAGTGTTTAGGGTTTCAGGTTTGCTGGGTGTAAGTTTTAGGGGTTTGGGTTCAGTGGATGCGAGAAGGTGATAGCATTTCGAATCGAAACGTAACATGACTAGTTGACAACGCCTTTCACAGTAAGACCACGAAGAGGCAGCAACACGATAAGAGCAACAAATGCGGTCACAGCCTGGAGGAGAAGACTTGCAGTAACAGCATGCTGGGACCAAAGAGATCTGAGAGTTTCCGAAAATTAGGGGGTACCTTATTTTGAAGCCCTTAAAATAAGGATCCTACTATTTAGGGTACTATACTAGGGTCCCTTCTTTTCGAAAACTCCCATCTGTTGAATGGCCGTCCCATTCAGAGCCGGCGGCATGTGGAGCCATGCCAACGCCCAATCACTGCATCCTCGGGCGGATCCCTCTTGCTAGGTCGCGACCGTACATTGAGCATTTGTTCATCAGATCCCTTGTAGTCCCTATGTCCTTGTGCAACAACACACGAATCTAGTTCCAAAGTTCATTATCTGGGTTGTCCCTTGGGATCTTTTGTCATTTCCCCTACTATTTTGTAGAGACCCATAATAGTAAATAATTTTCAATCGGCGTAAAGGACAACTCAGTTATCCACAGTTTCCCGGAGTTCTAGAAAGCTGTTGGCCCCCACAGAAGCGGCGCAAAGCCCCAGAAAAAAGACACCCTGAGAGAGACCTCGAATCTCATCAGCATGAGACGAGTGTTCACATGATCTCCCAAACCCACACCTTCCCTAGGGCCCTAGAGTCTCCTTACGTTCCGAAAATTAGGGGTACCTTATTCTGGGGTCCCTATAACAAGGATCTTACTATTTAGTGTACAATGTTAGGGTCCCCTATTTTCAGAAACTCCCATATTTTGTTTTTCCTATCTAGTTCTTAGTATAGTTCTAAGAGGGATATCGTCCCTGGCTCCACTGAGGTGGTGGTTCCGGGCCTCTTGCTGCGCGGGGCTCAGTGCCCGGCTGCTTCCCTCGACCTCGTTGGCACCATCTGGGAGTTACCTTGGGTTCCTTTAAAGGGTTACTATAAGGGCTCCGTTAAAGGCCTCTACAAGGGTTTAGAGTTTCCGACAATTAGGGGTACCTTATTTTGGGCTCCTTATAATAGGGATCCTAAGGGTCCCTATTCTCGGAAACTCCCAAACCTTCTCTCGGCGATGTTGAAATTGATGTAGACCTCCGATTAGCAGGCGAATTTATTGAACGGTTCTAGTAACGGTTCCAGTAAGCGGATCCCTACTGCAATCCCGGCCAAAGGGGAGGCAGCATATTAGCCAAGGGTCTACATTATTGTGATTGTGTTGCGTGACTAGTATTACTGGTTATCGTTGTCATAACTTTTACAACTGTCAACGGTCGTTGGAGTCGGTGCTGATGCTATTGTTGTTCCCTCCAGACGGGATGATCGCGCGCAGTGCGTGCACCTCCTTTCCCTCGGTATTTACAGTGCTTCCTTCGTGTCCCATGCCCAATACACCGGCAATTGCGGTGCAGTCCGCACCTGCTAAAACCCAAGTTTTGGACCTGCCGTTTCCTTCGGTATTTGCAGTTTTTCCTTTGGGTTATATGCCGAAGACACCGGTAATTACGGTGTGTTCGGCACTTGCTACAACCCACGTCGCCCAAACCATCCATGCGTGGCCCATCTCGTAGTAGTGATTTGCTTTTATCCTTGCATTGCAGCTCTTCCCTGCAGCGCAAGGCAGAGATTGTTTTACCCCCCAATTGCTTTGACAGCCCCTGGTCGCGCAAGTTTAAGCAGTGGTACTTCACAAGCCGTTCCAGGTGTTCGTGAGGAGACCAGCGTGGTCTCTGCGGACCAGGTACCTTGCCCAGATGACATTTCAAAGCCAGGAGGATTTCGAGGCGAATGTGGATGACATCCCTCCTCCGGAGTATGTGCAGCAGCGTGCAGCAGAAGCGCGGGCAGGGCATGATTTCCACGCTCTGGCGTCAGCAGCGGACGCCTCTGCACGTTTCCGCAGGACGACACACAAGTTCAAGTTTGGTGCTTGCGTTCGCCACCTGGGTGGAGTCTTCGCCCTCACCTCCTGGCGACAGGTCGCATGAAAGGACGCTTGGTCCTGTACTGCTCGGGTTTCTGGCGGCATGAGAACGGGTTGAACGGGCAACGCGCCTGGTGGTACCGCGAACCGTTTCCTCTCGAACGCCTTTCAGAAGTGTCTGAAGAGATGCGGCTGCAGCATGCATCTCTGCCGATGGTTTTCGAATGTCGCCGAGCTTTGTGACACAGTCTAGGCCAGCAGCTAGGGAGTTGCTGTAGCAAAGACCAGCTGGAAACACGTTCAGTTCAGTGCAAGGTCCTACGCGACATCATGCATCTTTCCTTCTGAAACAAAAATATGAGGCCTGGAAATTCCCAACCTGCACCCCAGAACCCTCTATCCTAAACCCTAAATCCTAAACACTCCCTAGGCCCTGAAAGCTTCGACCGTGTGCACTTGGATGTTTGCGGCTTCCAACTTATCCGTCGTGCTTTTTGCTGCCAGTTTTTTGGCATGGCCGAGGCGACGAACCCGGTCTTTCCTTGACTTTGCAGCAGTGCTTCCCAGAGCCACTTTGGCCTTCACGTAGGTGTCCTCTCGCCATGGTAAAGATACGGCCCAGAAAGTTCGGTGCTGCCGAGCTGCAAAAAGATTCCAAAAAACGCCAGGGGCTTAGGTTTAGGTCCTGGCATGAGGCACTTGTGGCATTGGAGCACATCTCCACTGGTGCTGCCAGAGCTAGAGGAGGAGGCTGGGGTGAGGCGGCCACCGCATTGCCAACAGGCTAGCCCACGCAAGCTTGCTGGCAAGACCCCATGCTTTTTAAGCATGAGCTCGGCCTGCTTGTCACTCAGTTTCAGGATATCGCCAAGTCGCCAAAATTCCATTCCTGATCACAGCGTCGCAGCTGTTGGCTCTGCTCCGGCAGCTTTGTTGAGCAAGACAACTTGGGCTTGGTGTGCTGGCGATTCGCTCCCCCTAGACGACCGAAGCCCTGAACCCTAAACCTGTCAACCCCAATAATTTGTTCTGTTTGGACTCACTATCCAACAGTTTCGGGAACACCTGCACCCGCGAACTTCCTGTGTGCCCAAAAGCAAGACATCGCCTCCAGCTTCGACATCTGCTTTGGCATGGACAACCGTCTGGCAAGGCTGCACAGGTCCACTTATCCAATTCTTGTTCCGCTTGCAGGAACAGAGTCCTTAAGGAGAGATACCCCTTGATGACAAAGCACATGAAGGCCGACAGCTTGGTGGCGTGCTCCGACAGCAGTACTGGACTCACTGCTGCGTGGAAGGCTCTTGGGATATTCCTTGCGATGCACTGCCTTCTCCAGAAACCCTCAAACTTAAACCCCACGCCCTGCTCTCTTTCCCTGGCGCCTAGCCTTCTAATTCTGATGCTGGTATCCATCCCGCAGCCCAAGCTCGACATGGCCTTGATGAAATGATGCCGACAGTTTCCTTCCCCGTCTCTGCCTTCAAGCCTAAACAGACTCGCGCTCTCGAGAAAGCTGCTGCTTCAAAGAAGCCGGCGGCGTGCTTCTCTTCGAAGAAGAGAAATGTTCGAGTTGTGGGTGGTGATAATCAGTGCGAGAGCCAGATTGCTGCCGGCAAGAATCAGTTGCGCAGGCTCAATGCTTTGGGAAGAATGGCACCGCGCACTGCGCACACGACCCTTCTTTCTGCCCGTCGCCTGTTGTGGAAACCTGGCTTGAAGCCCATTTTCCATCCCTTGCATCTTTATCGTACAGAGACAGGGACTGCTGGGATGCGATCCGTCGCACTACTGCCATGTGCAGCATGATGCAGCCTGGTTGTTCTGAGAGAGCGAAAACGTGGAGGGCGCAGTGAAGTTGGACACAAAAATGCAGCTTGTGCATGCAGTGCGGCTGTGGGGCAAGACAGGACTCACTCGGCAGGGACGACGTTTTCAGCATTCCTTTAGTAGTTCGAGCGCGCGCGATCGGCCCGTTGGCGCGTTATTGTTGTCTTACAGAGTTTTGGATGGTAATCAGCCTTGCTCTTGTCATGATTACGCGCTTTAGTTGCTTGCTGTTGCATTTAGAATAGCGTTGCTGTTGCAGGTAACGGCTGTGTAACGGATCCCATGTTTTTCGCCTTCTCAGGCCACGAAAACCTTGGCCCTGCCGTCAAAGTCGGCTTCGGAGGGGTGGGGGTGAGGGGGGGGGGTTATAGGGCCGTTTTTAGAAAACTCGATTTTCGGCTGCATCCAACCATGTTGACGTCCACTCAGACTATATCCATTGCCGCAGAGCACCCGTGGGCCAAGCCAACCATGATAACGTCCAGATCAGACCATATCCATTGCCGAAGAGCATCCATGGGCCAACCATGATCACGTCCAGATCAGACCATATCCATTGCCGCAGAGCATCCATGGGCCAACCATGATCACGTCCAGATCAGACCATATCCATTGCCGCAGAGCATCCATGGGCCAACCATGATCCACGTCCATTGATCAGACCATATCCATTGCCGCAGAGCATCCGTGGGCCAACCATGATCACGTCCAGATCAGACCATATCCATTGCCGCAGAGCATCCATGGGCCAACCATGATCACGTCCAGATCAGACCATATCCATTGCCGCAGAGCATCCATGGGCCAACCATGATCACGTCCAGATCAGACCATATCCATTGCCGAAGAGCATCCATGGGCCAACCATGATCATGTCCAGATCAGACCATATCCATTGCCGCAGAGCATCCATGGGCCAGCCATGATCACGTCCAGATCAGACCATATCCATTGCCGCAGAGCATCCATGGGCCAACCATGATCACGTCCAGATCAGACCATATCCTTTGCCGCAGAGCATTTTTTTGAGTTTCCGTGTTGTTCGCGTTTTGGCCATAAACAAGTACATGCAGTCCTGTGATGCGCAAGCACCCACGCGAAAACGCATTTTGCTATTAATGTAGAACGCTGCCAACGTGCCAAAATCGCACGGCGCCAAAAAACCTCATGTTTCAAGAGCCATGTTTCGCTGCTGTCAAAACAGTTTTTTTGCAGGCAGGCGTGTCCAAAACCCAAGCGAAAACCTATTTTTGAAGAAACAAATGAAAAACCGAAAATCGCGTTTCCAAAAAATGACCCTATTACCCCCCCCCCCCCCCCCCCCCCCCCCCCCCCACCCCCCCACCCCGCCAAGTCCAACTTTGCCGGTGGGAGCGACGTTTTCGCTGTCTAAAACCACAAAAACCCTGGGATCCGTTACGCTGTCGTGACCTTGTTGCAGTATGCGTTCTAAACAACGGCATAGTAACATCAAGAGCCGTATTTCCTGAGCAGTTCGGATGATTGCTAGCATGTCCGGTGAGCAGTTGTTGTGAAATTTCAGACTTCGCTAGGATGCGTGGGATACTGCAACCAGTTTCGGATTTGGGATTCATGCTTTTTCTAGTGGCAGAGACTGTATATGCGCTGGTTGTGCGAGCTTCACACTGACGCTACTGCTAAAAAGGTCATGATGCACATTTATCATGGCTACTATCCTCAGTTCTATGGCAGTTTGTTCTAGGTTTACACATGGAAATGGCTGGTAGACAAAACCGTGCATGGTTTGGAAGCTCATATTGCCGAGGCTGTTCCACTATGGCAGGGACCGTCGCTGGGGGCGTTCGCACCATCTGTGAGTTTCCGGTTTGGCGCTACATGCCGGATCATGAGCACTTCGGGTTGATGAGCACTGCAGGTTGTTGTTATTTGATGCTGAGTTGAGGCTTCCGTGCCTAGTTGACACTTCTTCTTTTGCGTTAATTCTCACATTGACACTTTACACAGCAAGGCTCCCATGAAGTCCCAGTGCAGGAGCCAAACACCCTAAACTTGACCAATCATGTTGCTCATACTTCTTCTTCGTCCATGTCAATTACGGTTTGCGCAAATTCAGCGGAAATTCCAGTGGTTTGCCCAAGTTCCACGTGTAGATATGCATGTGCAGTATGCCATAATGCTGCCTTCATGGCTTCCTACAATGTGGGTAAGTAGACAGAGGTTTATCTGTTCATGTTGTGCATGTGTTTATACATATATACACACACGCACATCACTGGGTGCGCACGCCACATCTCTCCACGTGCGAATTGCCAACCCCTCAAACTAGATCCTCAACCCTAGACCCAAAAACCCCAAGCCTTCAATCCTCAACCACAACACCCAACATCCTAAAACCTCAACCCGTAAACCTTTGAACTAACACAAACACTCCAACAAAACCCTGTACATCCTTGCAAGAGCCCCCATGAAATCCTACTGTAAGCCTCGAGCCTTACAAGTCCTAGAGTGTGTAAAGAACCTGCACAATCCTAACATACAGGCTTTAAAGGGGTCTGTAAGGGCTATTAAAGGATTTAGTCTGGGGGCCTTGCTAAGTACCCATACTATTTGGGGGTTCCTGATTATAATTATAGTATACTGGGCCCCAAAACCTTATTCTAGCTTTTAAGACCCCTATTATGTCTACCGTGAGCCTTGAAAGTTCATTGCAAAGCCCTTTGCGGGAACCGTTTAGAGAAACCCGTTAAAGGAGCCCTGTATATGCAGGAATCCAATATAAAACCTGTATAGACCACTTAAATGAACCCTTAAACGCTTCTTGAAGGAACCCTTAAAGGCCCCCTACTGGGACCCTTAAAGACACCATCGAGTTGAATTCTGCTGAGCAGGACCCGAAGGCTATCTTGGAGAAGCTCTCAGAAATGCGCCTCTCCAAGCTCTTGGTGTTCTTTGTTTAGAGGGCCCAGAAAGGTGAACACATGTTTGTTGAATTTGTTCGGTTTGTAAGGGTGTGCGCATTTTCTATAGAGTTTAGGTTTTGAGTTTAGGGTTTCAGGATTTGGGGTCTGGGGTATACGGAGCCCTAGACTAGAGAGAGATTCCAGAAGACCTGAATTGTGGGATGCTCATGTTCATGTCAATGTGACCTCGTGTGCCCCTGTCTGAAACTCAGCCCTAAACCCTAATGTTAAAGATATTGACATTCTCATGGGAGTGTCAAGCTTGACAGCTTAGGCGGTTGAGTTGCAAATT